TGTGTGTGTGTGTGTGTGTGTGTGTGTGTGTGTGTGTGTGTGCTGAAGCAAACTGAGAGCAGTAATGATAATAATGGTAGTGAGTAAATTACTTTATCATTTCATTATAGAACCAAGAATCTTAACTCTTGATTATTCGGACGATCCTAAATTATTTGGCATGCCAGAAGATAAAGCAGTTGAAGAAAAAGGTCAGGATGGTGAATTACCGAATCTACCAAAACCATTTGATAGAAAGGTCTTTATTATTAAAAAATATTCTGTATTTCTCCGCAGAATTTAATATTACTATGAAAGTACTTATGCTTGATTTTGAATGAAAGACTTTTCTGATCAAAAAACATAGGAGCACCAATTCACCAAGAAATCGAAGATGATATTGGGTCAAGTACAGCAAAGACAAAAACAAGAAGAAGACGAGCAAATGGAGAGCTCCATTGCGCAACTTACAGATAAAGACCCTTTTAATCTCAGCAACGACGATTACTACAAACCAAAAAATGTTGAAAGGCAAGTTGCAGAAGGATTTATTTGCACTTTGTTTTGCTCATAAAAATAGTATGGACTTTTGCCTTTGTTAAATAAATTTATCGTAAATTTCAAGAAAAATATTTTTGATTACTATTTTTTAGAACAGTAAGTTCTGTTTCTGGTGGCTCTCTCATTCAGCATTCAATACCTGCTCAGAATATACATCGCACATTTTTCCCCACTCACTTAAATCCTTTCAAATTGCGACATTATCATCGTTTGCCACTTTCTAAACGAATTTTGCGAGCACCATGTGATCAATTTGTGCCAGTCAAAACTTTAACAAAATTAATCAAAGAAAAAGAAGAGGTATTATTCACTTTATTTTTGCGTAAAAATGAATTTTAGAGAATTTGTTTTTCAGTATTTTCAAAGAGGGGAGGGGGTTGAAAAGTGTAACTTTTTTTAATCTATAATGCTTGATTTTACCATTAAATGGTATATTTTTCTTTTCAGTTTCGTGAAAAACAAAAAGCAGCGGAAGGTGGTGGAGAAATTTTCTTCATGCGTGAGGTACAAGATCTCTCAGGAAGGGATGGTACATTATTATTAATGGAATATTCTGAAGAACATCCACCACTACTCAATCAACCCGGAATGGCTAGCAAAATCAGGAGTTATTACAAAAGAGTATGTTTGAGTCTATATTTGATATTAATTCGTTTTCCTGCGTACTACTGGATTGAAGAACATGAATTTTTGCTGATTAAAAATTTTATTGCAAGACTTTCGTGACTTTTGTCGCTGTGTTTCTATCTAAAATTGCTGAGTTTGAGCTTAACTATGAGAAACCAACCAAAAGGACTTTTTAATTTGGAAAAAAAATCACTGCGCATGTGCGAAGTGACACAGATAATATATCTCAGAAAGTTGGAAAAGAGACAGATCCGGAATATGAATTCGGCGAGACTGCTTTTACACATACTTCTCCATTTTTGGGTTCTCTTGCACCTGGTCAAGGTTTGCAATCGCTGGAGAATAATTTATATCGTGCTCCAATCTATAAGCATTCTTCAGACCCAAATGATTTTCTGCTTATTCGTACTAAGCAGGGGTTGGTTAATCACATCTTCTTTTTGTGCGGTTGTTAATAGTAATGCTAGTAGTCATAAATAATATACATTGCTACTTGAAAGCTTTAAATAATCAGATAAAGAAATTGGTGTCGTATAGTGGACTATTAAACTAATTTTTAAGATTCTTATAGATACTTTATCCAGTTTGCGCATTCTATAATCACCGTGATGTATCTTCTTATTGACATTAGCATTGTAAGTATATGGAAATTATTTTTTGCAGGTACTATATACGTCATTGTCCTACTTTATTTCTTGTTGGTCAGGAGTGCCCTTTATATGAAGTACCAAGTCCAAACTCGAAGAGAGCAACAATTTTCGTGCGAGACTTTTTACTGTCGTATATCTATCGACTTTTTTGGGCTAGCGGTCAAAATCCAAGAAGGTTGAAGCTTTCGTTACTTGTTCTTTGTTTATTGCTGGAGTTGGACAAACAGAAAAAGTTTTCTAGTGTCTTATATCGACTGTAAATAATTCAATCTTTTCACTGGTTAAAAAATTCAATTTAGATTGAAAATGGAGGATATTAAGGAAGCTTTTCCTCACTATGCTGAAAGTTCGGTACGGAAACGTTTGAAGCAGTGCTCAGACTTCAAGCGATTGGGACAGGGTCCTGACCAAAATTATTGGGTTATTTTCATTTTCTATGCTAGAAAGTATATTTTGTACTTAGTCACAATCTGTTATTTCCGTTGCTGAAGCAACGAGCTGTTCTCAAGAATAAATTATATTTACAAAAAAAGTTTAATGAGAATTGAAGATTTAACAGGTTTTACGAAATGATTTTCGTTTACCAAGTAAGGAAGAAGTAATGGCAATGGTAACGCCAGAAATGTGTTGTGCACAATATAGTATGCTAGCGGCTGAACAACGTTTGAAGGTTGCCAGTTGTTGGATATTTCTTTTATTGTCTGTTGTGCATGAAAATTTTTGAAGTATTCTGGATTGGTTATTTGTCATTGATGTAAAAGGTCATTGTAATGCATTTAGGACGCTGGATACGGAGAAAAGTATTTTTTTACTCCAGAAAATGAAGATGATTCTGATGACCAAGTTACCATTGAAGATGAAGTAAGATTTTACTTTTCCAACTTTCTTTTTTTAGTTTCTACTCCGAATTGATAAAATTGTCTCATGTAATATCTTAAAGATAAAATGCGCTCCTTGGAATACAACACGGGCTTATATATCATCGATGAAAGGCAAGTGTCTATTAGATCAAACAGGTATAGCAGATCCAACGGGTTGCGGCGAAGGATTTTCTTATGTTCGCGTTAGCGCGAAGCCGCAGAAAGCTAAAGTACGTTTTTTTTCTTTAAGCTGCAGTTTGTTTTCTGTTGTGTTCTGTTTTTTAATTCGCTTTCTCTAGGAAGAAGTGACGAATGTTCCGAAACGATTGGTAACTGGGACGAATGCTGATCTTAGAAAGTTGCCATTAAAAGAAGCGAAGGAAATATGTCGGGAATATGGCGTCAGGGAAGAAGAGGTGACAATGTAACTTTAATATTAAAAAAATAGATTCCTTATGGTTAATAAAACATTTTGGACGTATGAATTAAAGCATTTCAGATCAATTCCCTGAGTCGGTGGGAAATAATTGACGTAATCCGAACATTGTCAACACAAGCTGCTAAAGCTAGATCCGATTTCTCAGGTGGGTTTTTTTTAATTAAAAAGTGATGTGTTCAAATTGTGTAATTCTAAGACAAATCTTGTAGGTATGGCTCGTTTTGCTCGAGGAAATATCCGATTTAATTTTGCTGATATGCAAGAAAAATACAAGAAGTTTTGTCAAAGGACGTTTGATCTGCAAAACCAGTGCGTTATATGGGTCTTCGAGCTCTTAAAAGTGTTTATGTTTTTTTGACGTTTTCTATTCATTGATTCCGTTTTGTAGGACGTTATCAAACACTGATATATTGAGTACGGATGAGGGTAGCAGTGGAGAAGATTCCGATAATGAAGAATTGGCAACAAAACTTGAAAGCATGTTAGGTGCTAACAAAGGTTATGCACTCATAAAATTTAAGGAAACTTGGAACTCTTGGCTACTATTTTTGTGCTCATTTTGTATAACTAGTGAATAAAAAAAATTTTCGATCTTGCATTTAGAGGGAAAAAACTGTTCCAATGCATGTGTTATGTTGCTTAAGTATCATTTGATGTCTAATTAAATTAATTTCAGATAAACCATTCAAATTCGACAAGAAGAAACTGGAATTTGAACGAGAGGAAAAAGAACGAAAAGCATTACAAAAAATGCTCTGTAACGACACACCCATTAAGTCGTCTGCTATAAAACATGATAAAGGAAAAAGTATGAAACGTTTGGTTGTATCTCTCTGTCCGAGACTATTTGTTACTGCGTGTGTTACTGCTTATAACTCGTTTTTTCAATAACAGAAAAGTATTTACAGGAAAAGATTCAGATCCGACCGCTGTGCTTAACGAAATACGGAATTCTAAAATTACTACCCCGAGTGTAACTAGAAAGCTTAAAATATATCGTACTTATCGGGATGAAGATGGAACTGAGACGGTATATTTTTGATTCAGTTCATGTGTCATTTTTCCATCATGGTGAATGTTAAGTGTGTTTTTAAGCTTTTTATAATTCTTAGACGCGAATAGAGGTAATTACTCGGCAACAATTAATTGACGCTTACGTTCGAATACGCACTAGATGTGATGAAACATTCATTCGAGTTTATGCGCAAATGGATGAACAATTTAAAGAAGTAAGAAGACTTTACAGTTCATGTTTTTGCAAGAATGTATCTGAGTTATAGTAGGTTTGTTCAGTATATCTTGTATTCTTTGTAGTTTTTAATATTTAAATATATACACTATCAGGAGAGAAGGAAAGAAAAACGAAGATTGCAAGACCAGCTTCGTAGAATCAGGCGCAACGAACTTAAAGCTAAGCTTTATGGTATACCGATCGGGCAATCTATTTCTAAGGTACTGAATATTATTTTTCGATTATTATTGAATATCAGTGATTGTCTAGATTATTTCTGAAAGTAAATGCTAAAAAATATGGTATGGGACATTTATACTACATGTTTACAAAAATAGTGTGAAACTGTTTTGATAGAATTTTTTTTAGTCAAAACCAGTGGAAAAGAAACCTCCAGTGATAAAACCTAATTTATTAAAAATGAGATGCAGTGCTTGTCATGGAACGGGACATATGAAAACCAACAAAAATTGTCCTCTTTACGGCAAAGATTCTTCAAAAACGGTCAAAACTGTTGGTGATATACATCCGGTATTTTTTCATAAATGTTTTAATTTTGCTGATTGAGAGTTTATTTTTTATAACTAGGATCTTTCTTTCTTTGTCAAGTCTTTTGCCTTATAGAAATTGGAAAAAAATTACAGGTAGCACTAACAGATGAACAACTTGAGAAGATGGCTGTTCCATCTGGAGAGTTGATTGCAGTTGAGGGTACAAAGTTAAAGATATCAAGAAAGTTGTACAGTCACGCAGAAATGATCAAGAAAAATGCACTAAGGTGTTCCAACACTTCTAATTTGTAAGCTATCTAGCATTGAAAATTCGTAATTTTGATTATAATTTTACAGACTTCATATTCCGCGTGAGTTAATAGAAGGTGATAGGAAATTTCGACTAGAAGAAAAGAAACCAGCTTTGGTTGAATCAGAAAATTTGAGTGTGGTTCGTAGAAATGAAGACAGTGAATATGTTGATCCGGATGGCGATCCAGTGATTCCTGAACCGCCTAAATTAGGTAAATTTTCATAAGGTCCTGTCATTGTCATGAACTTTATTGCTACTGTATTTCAAAATATTGATAATGTTTAAAAATATATAGTTGCAGGCAAAAATCGCGTAGCTGCTATTAGTTCGAGCAGACGACGTCATGCTGCTGAAATGGATGATTATTTGTATGGTCCTCAAAAGACTGTTAAGCGTATAAGAGCTGACCCAAAGGTAGGTTTCATCAAAGCATTTTTACCGAAATAAGTCACTTTTCGTCATTTTGAGTCTTGGTAAAAAAAATTTGTTGCAAGTCCATTGGTTATTCATTGTTTTTGTTTCGTATAGATGGTTACACAAAAGAAGTATTTAGTATTTGCTTTACAAACTTAGAGCTCATGTGAAAAGATTTCTTCTTTTTAGGTCTCCATGTCGATCGTTCTGAGTGAAGTATTCAGTGATATTCGTAATATTTCTGGTTGTGAAGAAATTATGTTCCCAGTAAACCCAAAAAAGGTTCATTACTTAGTCGTTTTAATTTGTGATTTATAATTGTACTTTTAAGAAAGTAGAAGACTATCGATAATTAAAGAGTCAATTTACGGTATCTGTAGATAGGTGTTCAGTATCTTGGCTATTTAAAAAATTAATTCAGCATTCTTTCGTAAGATTTTCTGGAGAAATGAGAATAATATTTTTTTTCTTATTTAAAGCAGTTGATATAGGTTCCTGATTACTACAATATTGTCACAGAACCAATGGACTTGCAACAAATAAAGAAGAAAATATCTGAGAATAAATATGAATTAAGGCGTCAGTTTTTGTATGACATGAAACTTATTATGGATAATTCAATACTTTACAACGGCGGTGCTCATCCAATTACAATAACTGCAAGGAATGTTAGTTTAGATGAAGCATGCAAATTTATGATTTTCCTCTTCGAGATTCGAGAAATTTTACAACATTAATTAATGCATTAGAATAATTTCCAGGTTTTTGAAATGGCTTCAAGACTAGTGGCAGAGCATGAGCAAAAATTGATTGCTCTAGAGAAAGCTATCAATCCTTTACTTGATGATAATGATATTATTGGTTTCTCATTCATACTGAATGAAATTGTGCAGGAATGTAAGAATGTTCCTAAAAGTGCTGCATTTCATTTTAAAGTGGATCCGAAGAAGGTCTTTTTGCTTATCATTGTTTTTTTAAAAAGTTTCCTATTTTTCTTAAGTTGTCTGTCTTTTAAAGTCATTATTGTTACAGCGAGTTAATGAAATCTTACACTATTATCTGTAAAACATGAAATTTTATTTGCATTAAATAATAAATCTGGCAACGCTGAAAATAAACATATATTTCTGAAGTTATTTTCCTTTAAATTGCGCGGTTTTCAGCTGCCTCAGTATTATGAAAAAATAAGTAAACCAATGGACTTGGGTACTATGCAACAAAACATTAAAGAACACAAGTACACTACTGTTGCGGCGTTTCGAAACGATATCAAACAGGTCTCAGTTTTAAGTTTTTTGGTTTTCTTTTAAGTATCTAACTAGAAATTTTTATGAGTTTTTCAGCTTTTTGAGAATATCATTTCAAAACTCGCAGTTGTATATGACATAAAAACGCTTTTAGATTAGAATGAATAGTGAATTGTATAACGGACCTCCAGAGATATCGCAGTATACTTCAAAAGCTGTAGAAATATGTAAGGTGGCCGAAAAAATGCTCGAGGTACAATTTTAAATGTTATATATAAGTTTCTGTTCTTTTTATCCGATTCATCGTAAATATTTTATATAGGAGCGGAAGGAACAATTGACAGAGCTAGAAATGAATATACAGTCGACGCTTAATGATCATGTAGATATTGAATCAAATACACCCAGCACCATGTATGCAGAAGAAATCGGTGAACCATCTCCTTGTTCGAGATATGATTATGCGGAATTGAAGATGGAGGAAAATATCAACAAAATGGAATCGGGTCAGTAAACTGGTTATCATATTTTATACCAGAATTTTTTTACTTTGGTAAATTTTATATTCTGAAATGTCCTAATGCAACTTTAGGTAATGGAGACAGATATGAGGATGATTTTGATGAAGATGAAGGAGGAGAGGAAGGAGCACCACTAATCGGTGGTAACCTACAAGATGATCTTGCTCTTAGTGGCGATGAAGATGATGTAGATGATCAGCAATTTAGTATGCCTGCAACAGGATGTGGTAACATTAGATTTTTTATTTTGGTTATCAGATCGCTTCATTGTTCGATCAAATGTTTGATCGGAATCATAGAAATTATTGTACGAAGTCGGTAGTATTATTTTGACACCTAAAAATTAGAATTAGTGATTTTTTTAATTTTCATTTTCAGCTCCAAGTTATGAAGCAAAGGACCAACATGGGGCAGAGAGTGATTTGATACAGTCACAAATGCATACTTCGGGTCAGTTGCATGCAGATTTGGCATTAAGTGATAGTGATGAAGATGAAGATGAAGAATTCATTGAAGCGAAAAGACCAAGACTGGAAGATCTTACAACGCTTTAATCTTTTCAGTTTGATGATTTTTCCTAATGACTGAACGAAAATATTTTTTCTACGTAGTGCAAAGTTTTCTTTTTGGTAGTATTTATGACTCAACAACTAATTTTGATCATTTTGCAAGGAATTATGTACATATCATGTAAGAGATAATGCTTTCAGTTTTCGATTTCTAAAAATTTACTGTGTGGCTTCCTAATAAGTTTTATCGGTTGTGAATTTATAAAAATGATCAAATTCTATTTTGTCAATGTATGAGGAATTTGTGGTGTTTAGATAATTCCTCTTGTTTTATTTTATTGACGCGGGTGTTTCGCATTTTGAAATGCGTTGTAATTTATTGTGAAATTACAATTTTGTGATGAAGCTGTATGAAAGAAAGTGATAAATTTGTGCAAACTCTATGGTTTATTCTGCCAATATTCTCATCTTTAACATACTTGCCGATCTAAGAATATAATGTGTTCGTGTTTACTATTTAAAGATGTTTTCCTGTGATGCAGTGTGTGGCAAACAGAAAGGATAACCGTAGTGCTTGGGTAAGAAAGTCGTGATTGGTAGTTTATTTGTGTATTTCATTGAAGCAGTCATGGAGATATATGAAGTGTAAAGTTGTACAAGTGTGTGAGCAAAATAGCGATGGCAAGATGTATTCAAGTAGCATATTTGAAGAACTAGAAAAGAAAAGCTTGCATAGAAGGGATACAGAACTATTGGTTGATCGATTCAAATAAGGCTAATGGTGCTGAGAACAGAGTATTCTTGTCCTAGCCTTTAGTCCTTCATTTTAAGTATTAAATATGTGAAGAGGATGGACTTTTGTTCCACTGCTGGTTGTGCTCAAAAAAAGCCAACAAAACAATTTAGAAGAAAGAGTGTTTATTGTTTAAATGCAAGTGCATTGATTAAAATGTAAAGATCAGTCAGTTGATCATTGCTCGCTTGTATGATTATCAGAATTGCTTAGTAATTCTCCACTCTGCATTACACATTTGTAAATTTTTTTGTTCAGTGTTTGTTTCAGCTGTGTAAGGCAATCAATCTTATGGGAGATACTTATTCAGGTGTTATCGATTTGTATAATAGAATAGCAATCAATCAATAATGCCGAAAAAGATAGAGAAATAGTGAAATAAATCTGTGGTGTTAACGGCATGATAACAAAACTGCTTTAGCAGTGGAACAGAGGATTAGTATTGAGAATAAGGAAAATAAAGGAGGAGAATCGATGCAAAGTCTGCTTTAAGAGTGTACCGCAAGTTTCAAGCCAGATACACGCATTACATTCATTGCGTGCTGGTTTGGGAAGACGCTCGCTTTGATGCTTGATATATAAGATTCCATACCAAATAAGTACTCTCTCTCCTGTATACAATTTTGACCTAGTTATCTTCCATGATCGTGATACATGTACTCTCACTCGTCCCATGCAAATCACGTCGTTAGTTGCATCACGTAATGTTTATGGATCCAAATATTAGTCATTCTAGCAAAGTATCTGTATTTTTTGCTACAGTTTATTTTAGCATATTGCACATGCCTATCCATTATGCATATCTCCTATCTTCTTAGTTCATTCATTCACTTATTAGCGAAGTGAGTCATGACGTGATAAACTGTTCTGAAGACAAATATCATGTTCGTATGTTGAGTGTCATTCCAAGCTATGTTTGAATTATCAGTCCATCTTCATACTATTGAGCTGTCGCGTATTTTAACAAGCTTTCATTCTCTATCTGTTCGTTACTTAATCTTCAGTTAAAATATGCTCTTATCTTTTCATACTTGGTTTTTTATGGAAATATGTGCATTCATGTTACATTCGTATGGGCGGCGTTAATGATTCAGTTTTGCTTACTCATCTTTCGTTTACTTTTAGTTTCGACCAGTCAGTGATCAAAGTATTATTCTGTACTCCAAATTGTACATATAGTTTAGCAGTGATGACGGATGCGCGATCTCCTGTTGATAGCCCTTCGAGACACATTACAGTTGTTGATGTTTACGATTTAGCCGCTTCTATTGGTAAGGATTTCGAGCGCATCATTGATCAGTATGGTGATGATTGTGTTCGGCAAATCATGCCGAAGGTTCGATTTTTTCTAATACTTTTTCAATATTAGTGTTTCAGTTTTTTCAGTTACGAATTCTTTTGATTTATACATCTCAAGTCTTGCTCTATCATCGTCCTCCTAGTTTTCTGATTGCTAAATGTGGGTTTAGTATTTTTAATTATCGTTAACTAAGTATACTTTAACGCTTGATGATTCTGACAAAAATTGCATGTTCTATTGGACATTTTTGGTCTTTAAGATCTTCAATACCATTTGTTGGTTTCAAGAAATATTACAGTTGCAGATTTCGATTTGTCTCAATTTATTGTTATCTTCTAGTATGTCGCAGAAGGTATTGCTTTTGACAGTTCATGATAAAAACGAAGTTTTTGGTGCTAGGACTTAGAAAAAAAATGATTGTTCCACATCTTTTATGAAAAATAAAACTTCTTTCTTTTAATTTACTTAATCTAACACATGTGCGATCTCCAGTTTTCATAAACTATTAGTCAAGAAAATACATCCTTTCATTGATTTGGAATGTCAGTGCTTGTTGTTTTGATGGTAATTTCTCAAGATTCTGAAATACTAAAATTGAGAAATTTTCTCTCAGTGTTTTGACTCAGTTTTATAAATTTTATTGAGGTACTTCCACTGCTTTCTATAAGAATAATGTGGTGCTTCAAAGATTATTGATTCATTAAAATTCTGCATTCACTTTAGCTCAGTTCATAATATATAAATCGAAATGAATTCAGAAATAAGAAGTTCCATTAAAATTTTTTTACTATAGCCAGACTTTCCGAAAATGTCGTAATTTGTTTTTATTTGTTTTTATGACTATAAATATTCATTTATGTGCCTTATAAGTATCATCTTTTCTTCTCCCAGCAATTTTGTGTCAGTTTTTCTCCATAATTATATTTCTTTCTCCACTACTCTTAGCTTGATAACTCCCATAACTTCTAAGTACTTATCTGTTTAATCATTATATGTTTTCCCTTGCTGACCATTTAGTTAAAGTTTATTTTACAAATTTTTAGCATAACATGTCGTACAGCAAAATGCAGCTCGCTTTTAATTAGGCATATTGATTCTGCGTTTAACTGTTCAAACTACTCAAATCAGTGCAGTAGCACTCGAGTTTTCAAGGTGCATTTATTTATTTTTCTTAAAATACTATGCAGGTTATTTCGGCTCTGGAAACTCTTGAATCGTTTGCGAATCATAATGAAAAAGAAAATGAAGAAATTGTGATGTTGAAGAAAGCGGTTGAGAGGTTAGAAAATGAAAAGCATGTAAAACAACAGGATCGGATCAAATTTGAATTGGTATTCATTGTACTTTGCTACAATATGTTTATAAAATACCTTGAGTTAAATGTTTTTCAAAAAGTAGAATCAAGTTTTTACGTGAATAACTGTATTTAGACTTGATGTTCAGACTTCAATCTTGTTATCAAAAGTAATTCCGTCATTATTATTATGTACTGTGATCTTAGCTTTATGTGAATCAAGCCATGTAATGATAAGTAAGAGATGAAGATTTCAAGCTTTTATGCAGAGTTGGTTATTAGATGATTTGAACAACCATCAAAGTCTCATCTCAAAAAAATGTAATACCAAAGTGTTTGAAAAATACTTGAAATGTTTATTGTATACTTGAGTATACTCTTAAGTCTGCCATTTAATTTTTTTTCGTATTATTACCTATAAAGAAACAAAAATGAGTTCGAGTATGTTTATTTGTTGGACACTTTTTACGAAAACTCCAACATTATTCATTCCTTTTTACAGGAATTAGAAGCAGTAGAAGAAAATTACCGGAAAGAAATCGATGATCTCTGGTCAATGGTGAAAAATTTACAGCTGGAAAATAAGCATTTGTCATCAGTTACAGGAGATGCTATGCCATCAGTCACTTCATCTATGAGTATCATTTACGGTTTTTTCTCGAAAAGTTATGGCATTATCATGAGTTCTCTTTTTTGAAATGTGGGCTTAGTTTGCAAGACAAAACAGATGATTGAATATTTTGTTGAAGCAGATACAGTTATTTCCCTGATTCACTGGCCTTTCAGTCAATATCCCGTGTTTCCTTTTTTGATTTATGTACTTGAGTGCATTTAATTTTTTTCATCAAATGTTTCCATTTCAGTGCCTTCGGGTAATAATTTTTGTTTATTATAAATCTCAGCCGTTCTGTGTTTCAGCGTCTCGTGAAGAAGACTTAAAAATGTTGCTTGAATTGCGAGACCTTTCTACGAAACAGAAAGAGCAAATAAAGGAGTTACAAAAGGATATTGATACATATAGTTGTGAAGTTGAAAATGTAATTATATTCATTGATATAATTTTGAAAACTTCAAAGACAAATTGTCATCACATTGATGATAATTTGTCTTTGAAGATTAATTGGAAAAAAAACAGATCTTAGATATATTGAATTTAAATTTTTATGACTTTTTTCAGTGAGTTATGTTGTATTTATGATATTTTAATGTTAATTTAAGGTGCTGTTTTTTAAAGAAAAATTTTTCACATATCCTGATTATTCAAAATGTGTTTACTGCAGTCGAATAAGCATATTATATTGTTCTCGAAGTACAGCAGCTTAGCTTTGGTTAAATTTGTGTTTCAGCTGCATAATAATGTTGAAAAACTTATTCGTCAAAACGAGGAACTTTTGCGAAAAAATGCATCGTTACAAAAACAGGGGCGAATGTTGGTTGAAGAAAAAAGTGAAATTATTAAGAGACTGCAGTTCACCGAAGAAGCAAATATCAAGTTGACGAAATTATTCAAAGATGCTACCCGTCAGTGCAAAGATTTACAGCAGTCTCAGATGGTATTTTCTCATATTTGATTTGCAAGCTATATAATCAAATAAAAATTACATAAATGTAACATCTGCTTTACTCGACGTCATTGAACATTGTAAATGGTTATTTTTCCTGAAACGTACTAAATATTTCTAGGATGAAAGTGACAGTTCTCCTAGATTCACCTTATCAGAATTACGTGAAGTTTTACAAGAAAAAAACTTGTTGAAAGGGAAGGTTTTGGAACTAGAAGAAGAACTTGAACAACTGCGACCATCTTATCGGCGAGAATCTGTAGCGAGTGATTTTAGCAGAGAGTTCGAAAGGTTTCCAATTTTTCTTCTACACTATATTACTTAGGAAAAAGATAACTGAGTTTAGGAGGACAAAATGTTTCAAATTGAGTTAAAATATTGTTTGAATTGAAATGGTCGATTTGACATTCTTAGTTTTGATCTTATCAGTATCTTACAATTAATATAGTTTTAGTTCCACTAAATCAGAAGAATGTGTTGTTTATGGGCCAATCAACAAGGAACCGGAAGAGAAGTTGTATCCCTGGAAGTACGAACGAAAAGAAAGTGGAGTGCGAAAGTTGTATGCCTTACTTTATAAAAAGTTACAGAAGGAGTAACCCTGTGTTTTCAATTGTTTTACCCAGCTTAAAATGTGGAAGGACGATAAAGACTAGTTAATATGAAGTCTTGAAAATCAGCGATTACTAAAGAATCTCGTGAAAAATATCAGAAAGGTATTTTGAAGCTTTACTCTTGAAGTTTTATATCGAGTTCAAAAATAAACACATCAAATTCAAATGTTTGAAACATCACAATGGGGCCAACACTTACTAATAAGTTCAGTGAGGTTTTAATTTAAACTGCCTAATTACGTAATATAAGTATATGGTCAGAATCAGGTTCGACAATAACTGTAAATAACTATGAAAAGTGATGCGCTTTCTGCTTGAACGAATTCAGCATTATTTGTCTGTTTCGATAAAAATTATCAAGTTTGGGCGAAATTTACTGCTGTTGAAATTGCAGCTTCCGATTTTTCTTCAATAAGGATAGCTTCAAAAGCAGTAATTACACTCCATTTCATACTTCCAGTAATCCGATACCATCAATGCGCTCGATGACATCATTTTCCGGTTATGCTGCTTAAATCTAACTGCGGAAATTATGAGATTCTTTTGTACCACTTCATAGCAAATTCTGTAGTATTTTTTTAGTCTTTTTTTTCTTTTAGACTTTTGCTTTTTATTTTTCTAATTTGCTAAATACAAGTAGTGTTCAAGGTTTCTATAGCCTCTTAGATTTTTTAGATTTCCTCTAAAAATTTTTGCATAGGCTAAAAATTTCTTCAAGAATCCTACAAATTCTTTGAAGCAAAAGAGATTTCATGCAAAATAATTGCAGTTTATGAAGTTCCAGAATTTAATCCTGAATCAATTCATTCAAATTTATTGAAATTGAAGTCTTATTTTAAATTTGATTGCAAGTAGAGCTGTATTTAAATAGTAATTTTCACTCATTTTTTGATTTCCATTCTTCACTTTTGATATCGTCCCAAGTTCATAAAATACTCGTTTGTAAGTAGAGTCCACGAGGAAGAACATCTTGAGTGTTATTAAGTACTTCCGCTCTTTTTCATTGCATTTTGTGAGGACAGATTGTATCCAAACCTTTCTAGTATATCGCAAGCAGTGAAACATGAATTTGTTTTACTTGAAAAGTTGTTGAAAAATTTATGCCTTTTTTTGACGATTTGTTTATCCTTTTGAAAACATCACTTTATATCTGTGTGAGTTCAAAATTTTCAAAGCGCTAGAATTATTCCTTTTGTGTTTTTGTGCTTTGACGACAGCTAATTCATGCTTGCTCATTTGCATTTTTTTTGTTCAGTCTGTTACTTTGGTGGTAAAACTGTTAGATGTATATAAGTATGATTTGTGCTATTTATTTTTGCTAATTAGTTGATTAAGTTAGGCAAAACTGCTGTTAACTCGTAACTAGCATGCAAATTAGAAATATAAAGCTGGTTATGTAACCTGCAATCTTATGTCTGTCACTGGCATATTAGAAGTTCAAATTCACGTTCTTTAGCCTCAACTTCCATAGTGTTATTTGCTTTAATTTCGCTTTCATGTCTTGTGAATATATTAGTTGTAAACATATTATATTACCCAAGTCTATTTTAAGGTCTATTAAAGTGATAACTTTCAGGCTTTCTTATGTTTCTCAACATGTTTTCAACTGTTTACTTTATGTGTAGCATTTCATTTATGTGTACTACTTGTATGTATCTATTCGACCTATTTTCTTGCCTCTTATTCTTCTAGCTTATCATTCATTATGTGTAACAGATGATGATGCTTTTGTTTTGTGTTGCATTTGTTTTTTTATGAGTTCGATAAATCATACAGATTGTTAGGAGTAAGTCTCTCACAAGTAATTATTAACATGAAATTAAACGTACAGCTATGGAATAGTAAAATTAATGTTTTAATAATAAACACCTTTTAAGTAATGGCTTTGGTTATGCAAACTGTAACAAACTGTAACCTTTCACACAGTTTAAGAAATATAACAAACTGTAGATAATCCAATCCAATCAGCTATAACTTGCTCTGTGATGCTTCCTGTTTTTTAGTTATGAGTTTAAAAAGTGCCAGAACTCTTCGATTGTGGAATGAATAGTACCGTGGTAGGCACTAATCAGTCAAGGTTTGGTGGTCAAGGTCTTTCTGTTATCCTCCAGAACTGGTTCTAGTTCCAGTTATCGTTGTTGGTGTTGGAGATATCGATGATCCAGTGTGTGTACTATCACTATCATTACCATCTTCTGAATCATCGGAGTCGTCGGAGTCGGTTGTTTCCGTGGTGCTAGAAAAGTGCCAGTAAAATCTAAATCTTTCCACTTAAGCTATCCTTGTCGTTTTTGTATCGATAAAATTTTCGTTCATTCTCGACAGAGTAAAAAATATTTGGAATGACGTACGTGGGCACTGAAGGTAATTCTTGCCGCATTTCTCTGGCTGTTGGGGTTATGTGTGTTGGCGGCGCACTTGGTGGTAAAGTGACTCGTCCGGGAATACGGCTGTTACCTCGTCTGTTGCTTGAAATTACTACAAAACTTGTTCGTGGATGAGTGCCGATAGGTTGACCGATGGGAGGTTCTACATGTAATGAAGTGATATGATGATTAGAGAACATAACAGGGACTGTGATCTATAAGATAAATGGAATTTCGATTGAAATATGTATAATAAATGGACACGTAGATGAAAAAATTCGGATAAACAGCAAACTGTGAACAGTCAATACGGTTTTGTGGTATTGTATTTCGAGTTGCAAGATTATTTGTTGCGGCGATCTGATTATTAGGAAGATTTCTGGTTACAGGCAAATCCGTGAAGACATTTCCGCCAAATTCAGTATTTAACTGTTCGTCAATCATTCGCTCGAAGAATCCTATTTGTAATGAGAGGAAGTTCATTTTAATCATGTCAACAATTAATTGCTATTCAAAAATGACATAATGTTATATCACCGATACCAAACATAGCAGTTATGCTACTTATATATTTGGATAAGAGAAAGTAACCTTTACTTTTGCTATGGACTTCAAAGCTAATGCACATGAATTTAAGCAATTCAGTTACTTTAGCTACATGTAAGAGTATCTTTTGTTATTATAGTATGCTAAGTTAGATCAAAATTTGTTAAAAAGCACATGTTTGATGCAAATATTCAAGGGTAAAGTAAAGCGAAATTATAATATATTTCTTTTAAAATGGTTCCTTTTTATCTCTCCTTACGGTATTTTCAAATCCATTTCAGTTTTAAGCTGAATTCAACATTGATTGCTTTCATATATTTTCCTTTAGTTTATTACCTAACTTTTCTATAGAAATAAGAAAATAGCATTGGAAAAATAATTCATAGAGTTACTTGCGATGGTAGCCATCATCATCTCGCCTGGATCTTCGTTTGCTGGCAACTGTGGCTGAGCTGCAGGCGCAGGTTGTCCTTGCGAAACTATTGACGCATCTGTTGCTGTGATTTCAGTATTTTCTTCAGCTGTGTCCACGTTTTCACTCATAAAATACCACCAACCTGGCACCTAATCAAACAAACAACTGATTTACAGCTTCTTAACTAATAGCATTTTAATTTGATCATCGTTTAATACTAAACTCTGCATAAGCACTTACTTACCTTACTATTTTTATTTCTTTTTTTGTTTTAAGAATTACTTTATTTATTGCTAGACTTAATTATGCTATGCAGTATAAACAGTTGGTCATAAACTAATTTTTAGATTTGATTTCCCTAAGAATAAGACTTTTCCAAAGTATTTTGCAAGACTGATAGAAAGCTGTAATTTTATCAGAAATAATACAGAAAAGTAACACAGTATCTGGACTTTTACTACATACGAATCCTTTTGTAATTAATTAGATGAATAATTTATTTTCATTGTTCAGTGCTAAACTATTTGAATTGTATCGAATGTTCAAGTGTTGAAGTACCAGATTTGGATATTCGGTGTTGAAATGTTTATAAGGTTGCATCCAAATCATATGTGAGAGTAACTCGCAGTGTCCGTGCATCCAGTCTTGCTGATACAATGTGTCCATACGTTTGCAAAATGTTACCTGTGGTTACAAATCTAAGAAATGATTAATTGTAAGCTTTATAAACTTAAAATCTATATCTGAAATTGAATTTAACTGGAATTGATGTTTGTTATTAAGTTTTTAAAGCCTGAAACTGCTTGAAATTGATGCCTTTGCAAGTGGCAGGAGGATATCTCTATTAAAGGTCACCTTGAAATTCAGCTTGCGAAATTCTTCGTTTCTCAAATCTCGCATGACCAAATGTGTTGGATCGTGCAAGCATAGCTCTTTTAAAGTTGTTGGCAATAATTTCTTTAGGAAATATCGTGTTTCAATAATTTCAGATTCATAAACATACACACAGAGATATTTTACATTAAGTTGCGATAGCAGACGGCATTCTTGATATAGAGGTTTACTGCTCAACGATAACAGTGATGGTGGTAATGTCAACTTGCATAAGTTCTTAAAGTTACCTTAAAGTTTTTCCGATACTTGGCATTATTATTGCGTTTTTTAATGCGATTATTTTCACTTTAGTCATTGTACTCATTTTTCAACAAGTGCGAGATTGATTGATAGTGAAAAAGTTTCAAGTCATAATTTGTTCATGTATGCAAATGTAGTGCTGTAATATTCATGTACTTATATTCGGTATGCTATGAGCAATTAGTACAGCACTTAAACTTACGTAACGCATTTAGATAATTGGCGGCGTCAGGTGTGTGTGCCAAAGTACCCATCAAACATAAGAATCGTAGTGAGTTCGAATATTTCTTGGAGATTACATCCATTGCTTTCGGCGTCAGCGATACCCCCTGAAGAAATTAAATATTATTAAAAAGTTATGGTTTGACTGACTTCTTTTATTTGCAAGGGCTTCTTACTTTAATCATATAGTTTACCATTAAATAAATACCAACACTTTTATAATATTGTCTAGTACATATTGACGCATATTAATTTACATGTCAAGTTAGCGGGTCAAATCATACTTTTAAAACGTTTCAAATTTTTTGTTGAAAATTACTTTGTATAATTTTTAAGTAAACTGTAGTCTATCAACAGTTTTTTTTTTGAAGTTGCGAGTGAATTTTAAATACAATGCAGATGACGTATAGCACACTTTAGTTTTCAAAGAATAACCTGTAACTTTAACATCTTTAAAGAAACCGCTTGCAAATTTTGCGCATGTTCTGCCCGAATAACATTTTTCGCTTTACGTGGAGTATCAAACCGCTTGAGGATACGCAAAACGATTAAAGTTTTGATCGAGAACAAGGTTTTGATCTTATCGCTTAATTTTAGTCCACTGAAATAAATTAATGTCCTTGCCTAAGTCACAAACGCTCTTTTCTTGACTGCCTCAAATAATACTTATTTCCAACGACTTCTAGCACTTTCAACACAAAGAGCTGATAATATTTTTAGCACGCTTCGCTTTCTCAACCCAAATTAAATGTCGACAAAATGACTTGGACAGAAATTTCAATATTTCAATGTATTGCTCGCAACGCAAATAGAAATCGGAACTAGAAGTCTTTAAGTACATAGAGGAAAAGACTTAAAATTAATACTTGTCAAAGGTATCACATGGCAAGGTCAGTTCTTGAAGTTTAGTTAAGCAGTCAAATGCTGTTGCCGGAAGTGTACAGATGTGCTCAACGCTGCTTATCACAAGTTTTTGTATGAAAGGTGTACTGCGTAACGTTCTTGCCAAGAAATTAAAATCCTGAATTTCTGAACTACACAAATAAATACCTATTTATTCAAGTTACACGTACGTTTGCAAACCTCGAAGAATAATATCAGTTTTTTTAAAACAGATTCTTTGCTTTATCAGTCCAGATGCTGAATACGTGGCATTTCACAGCATTAAAATAGGAAAAAATGTAAAAAAAAAACTAAAATATTTGTGCTGCTATGTATTCACAACAGCAATTTTGAAGGGAAATTATTGCAAAAGAAAAGAAGAATCAACATTATACGCTATATACGCTACGGTATTTTGTAATGAATGCAATATTTATATTGTGAAAAAAAAGGCTTATAAAAACATAAATTGCCTTTGTTCCCTGACAGTTTGATTACAAAAACCACTTTTTGCCGCAAAATATTTATAAATGATAAGATTGTGAGGAGTCGGATCTGAAGTTTAAACTATAGCAAAGTTATCATAACCTGTTCAGTGCTTGTTTGATTCGCAACAGCAGTGCTGTGATGAACTTCGAGAATGCGGCGATCAGAAGCAAGAACAATGCCTATTTTATACGCTGTTATGCGGTTGATATCACTCCACTGCAATTACTCAAAGTATGTAAGCCTCGTTAAAATTGATCAAGTTTTTCAGCATTATCATAACATAGAAGTAATCAATATGGCATATTTGATTTATTTATTGTTACAGTGGTTATGCATGAAATTAATTGTGATGCAAATATCCACAAAACACGAAGCCACTGACTGGATATAGTAAATAAAACATGTGCTTATTAAGAGCACTGAATCGAGCTCGTTCTCGGGGTGCAAGCTTTTCGAATATTTCAAAGATTGTCTCATCAGACAGTATTCCAAGTAGTCCTTTCGAGGTCATTTACTTCTTGTTTATTCGCGGTCACCAGTTTGCTCTACTCTACAAAACAACAATGAAAACTTCAACTGAATTATTAACTTAAAAATGGATTCCTATTAATTTTTTCTACATTTATCATTGTGAAACTTTCACTGACGCAAATATTTTTGCCTAGTGATTATGAAAATTTTCATTTCAAGGTAAACTTAAAACAGAACTAAACTTAAACTGAAAGTGATCTATTTTGCTAAATAAAATTTATTTCAATTTATGAATAATTCCTTTCTGAATTTGATTACTGATTTAGCATGCAGTTATTTGGTACAGATTTCAGAGCAACAACGTTGAATGTTGATCATAAAAGTTAGCTGCAAAATGTATTCCTTTATTCAAAAACATTTGATAATGGAAGGAGACATTGTGCATTCTAATCAGGCGCTTCATAAATTCACCAAATTAACAAACTGCATGAAGGTTTTTAGCGAAACACGTCGAGGATTTTGAAAACTTTATAATAACAATTCACAAAAAATAACAAAAATTTCATGAATGATTGATGAATTTAATAAACTTTAAAAAATAAATAACAAACAATTAAAGAACAGTGTAACAAAGATTAGAATATCAGTTTCAAATTTATTGAAACACAAATAAGATAAATCCTTCTTGGCAGTTATAAATATAGGCAATTAATATGTGCTTCTAAAGTTTAGAATTATGCCTTCGATGTCTCGGAGAAGAATGATTCCACTATCTGGCTCTTACTATAAAACTGATAGTAATGTTGGAAACTTTTACTAAATTCGTCATTTTCATTTAAAGACAAAAGTCTGAGTATAATCGGAATGTAATGCATTTATTTTTTATTCAGAAATTGTGCCTAGCTAAATCATTGTCTTCTGAATACTTTCTTGCGCATGTGTTCATCTAGAAGTTGATACTGCCTTTCGATTTCGATTATAACAACAAATGTAAGAACAACTTAAAACTAATATCCTAGCTATACGAGCACGAAACTTCTTCGAAAACAATGCATATAGCAATGGATTACAAGCACTACACATCAATGCTAGGGCGTCCATTAGCAGTATGAATTCATAAGTTGTACTAACTTGTACATCAAACAAAGCCCTGAAAATGCGTAAGTCAAACGGAACAATCAAAAATGTGAAATCATAACAATGCAATTACGAAAAGTTTTTCTGTAAAAAAGAAGTTTCAAAATATATTTTTATAAAAACTGAACCACATGGTGTTTTTTTCGAAAAAAAATTATTTATCGATTCAAAAACATAATAAAAGTTCAGATTTAGTGAACACATTTCATTAGTTTACACGTAGCTGCTAATGGATGTGGCACAAAATAACACTTTTTGTAATTTATAAAATTGCCTTTGGAATGGCATCATTATTTTATTTAAAATTATTAAAATACGATAAAAAAGCTTTTTTAATTTAACGAACTGCTGTTGAGGAATTTTAGAGTTCAATTACTTGGATAGAAAAATAGTTTGTATTGGAGAATAACATATGAAATACATTGATACGCATCCAACTAACATCTTTACAACGTTTCGTCTTATTCGTAATGCTTCCGTTTGATGGTGTACTACAGCTTCTGACGTTGATACTGTAATGCAAAGATTACATTGTTTTTTTGTTAATTTTACAAGTTTTGCAAAAATTGATACATATTGCTGAAACTACTGCAAAGCACATTTTAAATGAAAATTGGATGTCGTAAAAATTGGGACAAAATTCAAATAATAGTGATTGTGGTGAAGTTTGAAATAACAAAAAAAGAAATAAATGAATGGATAAAAAGCAAAAACAAATTTACTGCCAAGACAATTTAAATTTGAAACTGAAAACGAACAGGATTGTAGTATTTCTTGTTAGCATACCAATAAGTAAGCTTTTTAATGTCATTTTGCTGCTATTATTTTTAGTAATTAAAGTTGAACTCAATTATTTGCTGCTGAAAGTAATTCATTTGATTAATTATTGAACAATTTCTTACCATAAGAAAGAAGTTTATTCTGCACCCATAAAATTCTTGCCATTCTGGAATATAATAAAATAAAAACAATACAAGGAATGAAATAGAAGCAGAAAAATTCAAGCCATTTGTAGCGTCTCCAAAATGAAGTTGACACGTATGGATTCACACAGAGTGCTGGAAACATTCAATGAGCATTACTGTTAATCATTCATACAATTAATAGAGATCTTTTTTTTATCTAAAAACACTTTTAGCGAATGTTCTCAGGCATAAAAATGCTCTTCATAGAATTTTTTCTTATTCAAAAAATTGGCGCTTTTTTTTGATTAAAGAATTTGATTAGCTAATTTTTAAATTATTAAACAAAATAAATTTTAAAATTTGTCAAAAAAACTTTTTGCCAAATTCGTCTTAAAAAATTAAGTTGCAAATGCAAAATTTTAAAGCGTATAATTGAAGTTTCACAAAAGTTAAGTAATGACTCCGCACTGAATCCAATAATGATTGTAAAGGAAAATTGCAGCTCAAAATTAATTTTTAATTTTTGATAATTAAATTTTGCTTTTGTGATCAGCAACAATAATAAGCAAAGAGATAATTGATTTCAGATTTTTTTTAAATCGAAACATAGTGCTATGTAATAGCAGTTGAGAAAGATTAGGCCAAAATATCAAAGAAGGCAATTAGCATGCACAATTTTTTTAATTAGACACTGTTTGAAGTACCTACAGAGCAGAAGCATACATTTTGGAGTCAACCGGTGAAGTAAAGCGTAAGGTATAGCAAAAAGGACGACAAATAACCAAGTAAGTACTATTAAAATAAATATATTCTGCCTTGAGCATAAGCGACGGGCATGCATTGGATATACTATAGCGACATATCTAAAATTAATGCTAAATTAAGTAATAAGTGTTTATTAAGGCTTTTCCAAGAAGTTTTCTTGCAAAAATGAGCTAATAATTTATAAACTAAAAGTTTCATCTTCCGAAGCAAAAATATTCAACTTGAGTTTAGAACAAATATTTTATAAGCCTCAATTTTTTTATCTTTGCTGAAACAAAGAAAAAAATTCTGAAGAATTTCTCTGTACTGTTTGTCTAAATTTAATCAACTAATTTTTTTTAATGTTTCAGATTGAGTAATTTTTGACTTCAGCTCATTCTTTACTGTCTCTGGATTTTCAGACGCACTAATTTATTAAATATAAATTCGAAAAAAGGAATTCCAACTTATCATATATTTTGGAATAGAATTTAAAAAACATCAATGTTCTTTTATAAAATATTAACTGATAATATAACATTTAAGTATTAGTTGATAATATATATAAATAGCTGATCACTAATAGTAGTGCGAAACTTACCTCTCAACACAAACCACTATTTGTGTCAGAATTGAAACGAATAAAAAGATAATCTCAAGATAACGGGCCAGAGGGCATAAAATGGCTGGTAAAATCCATTCCAATCTTCCAAGTGCGATTGTTGGTGACCATTCCACAGTGGTTATGATAAGATTTAAGGCATCAGCTATAGCCTGAATTTTTTCACAACTTCAGGATTTAAATTTTAATGAAGAAATCATAATTTTTCAAATTAATTAATAATTTTTGCTCTATCCTTTAGTTATGTTAACGAGATTTTGAAAAATAAAAACATTTTGAAACTACGCCATGTTAAATTAGAAAATAAATGGTTCTATTAATTTAGTCAGTAACAAAATTATAAGTCATTTCACATTTTTTCATTTAGCTATTTTTCGAAAGAGTTTTCATTTTGAAACCATTCAAATTCAAATTACCGACCGTACTTATATCGATATTCAGATTATTAATTTTAAACTTGATATTGTTTTATGTATCTACATTTATATGAAATGCGAAAATGACTATTCGGCGCAAATAAAAGTTGATAAGATATCATTCCACCACTGAGATTAACTTTCATTTGCTTTTGAGCCTTTTTTGTGTAATTTTTTACAACCTAACTGTAAATTATCAACAAGTATAAAAGTATTACCAAATTAAATAATAACATATTCATCACTGAATGACGCATTTTCTTATCACAACTAATGGCAGCAATGACAACTGAGTTACCGATCAAGCCAACAACTGTTAAAACAACGAATAAAGTACCGAAAAGTGCTGCACATGATATAAATACTATTCTCATATCTAGAATTTTTGTATTTTCAGTACTCAAGCAAAAATTTCAGAAAGCACAGACAGCGCATATCTCGTTAGGTAATCAAAGTAATTAAACGAACATTAAGCGATAATGGATGAAGTAAGCAAGTTGACTATACGCGTCGGTATTAGGAAAACTTTTTAATTTTTCAAAGTAGTAAATCCGAGATGATTAGCTTTAAAGAGAAAAATTCAAGATCAAATATCAATGACACGTCTATTCATGCATTAATATTTCATTTGACAAGAGCACTACTTCAAGTATTTTTAAGCATAAATAAAAATTTCCTAAAAAAATAATTAAAATTTTTTGCATAAAAAGAATTTCATTTTGCTGATTGTAAATTGGATTTCACTTTCCTCTCCTTAGAAATAAATTATTGAAATAAATTAAACTATTGACGTATAAAGACCTGTGATTATTATAAAAAGTATAAGTTTTTAGCAGCAAATTTGAAACTTGACAATTTGTATCAAAATAAGAAACAGAATTTATAAAAAATAAGAAAAATAAAAATAAATTTCTAAAAAAAGAGTAATTTTTCTAAAATTTATTCTTATTTTGCTATGAAACACGATACTTTTCAGCTAAATAAGATTATTACACGTAAATAAACGAATAATTAATGCAAACAAACTACAAGAGAAACAATAAATTCTGATTGATATGCATTAAAAGTAATGCGCGTGGAAAGAGATAAAGAAGAGTAATTATCAGAACAAAAAAATCTTAGGAAAATGCATGCGGATAAATATGTGAACTAATGTTTATCCGCACAACTAATCCATTCAAGCCATGACCCTTCAGAATTTGAATAATTGCAAGCAAGCCTGTAGCTAATCAACATTTTTCAGGTAAACTACATTTAAATACGTCATTTGAGTTGAATAGAATTTATTATTCACTTTTTCCGTCACGTGTCACTCGGAGATGTTAAATCAAATGTACTTTTGTTGGTCGTTTACTGCATTTTCTGTTTTGAAAACTCTAATATGATAAAAGTTACTTATTCAAGAAAATTCATAATTTTGAAAAAGTATATTTTAATTTTTGATTCCTAATATTCAATTAGTATTTGTCTTGAAGTCCTTTACTTGATTAATACAGTATATAAAATATGGAGTTAATGCAAAACTATTTTTAGAAATAATTTTTTCTATAAAATACATTATTGCTAACTTGTACTTCGTTTTTGTTAAGCATTCCGATTTGACTTTGTTTTATGCTCTGGTAAGTATTTGATTTCCGATGCTTTTTGAGCAGTCATTAACATTTTAAGTAACTAAATCTACTGAGTTCCGTATTACTTTCCAGCTTTTAAAATTCTTCAAATAATATCTCATATATTTTTTAAGTAAGAAATTGCAATTAAGCCAAAATTTTATTTCGATTTTGAAGTAATTTTAAGGTTTATTTTGATAAAGCACAATATCATGTCACAAACTTCACTAAACATAAATTTTTATTATGTGATTATCAGATAAAATAAAACAGTAAGAATTGATGTGATTTTGAAAAACTAAAATTTTTTGTGATAAAATTCGATGATTTGAAGTAAGTGAGGATTGCAAAAAATCATCTTTTTTCTTGCCAACAAGCGCAATGCTGAATAGTTACTTACGACTTTTTGGGATTGTCTTTTCATGAAGTATTCGGTAAAGTGTTCAAGCTACCTGAATGTCATTCTTGTATCCGAATTTTATTTGAAAGCTAATTTTATAATGCCATATGAAAGCATCTGATTATGTCACCATGAAGCTTCTCAATTTTTTTCCATTTATTAAAAAAGTGCAAAATTGAAACGTCAAGTGTATTTTTTCAATTTTTTGCTAATTTTTTGCATTTTTCAAAAGTTCAGAAGATCCATTTTGAAGTTTTTGAAAGAACACAAATTTAGCGTAAAAAATTTATAGACGTCTGTGTACAAAGCCATTTTTCTGCTCAATCCATCATGTTTGATGTTAACAAAAGTAAATGATATTTTCCATGTTATTCAGTTTGTTCAGCTTTGTTTCTTTAAAATAATTCTTCTTTTCACAAGAAAATTTGGTTCAAATAATTTTAAATAAATCAAATGATATTGACAGATGTATCAAACATATGGCAGAATATATAAATTCGCTAAAATACTTGAGACAAATAAATATAATCACAAACAATTACAATTTTAATAAAAATTATACTTCAAATTTTTTAAAAGAAAATTAATCAGTTATTTGCGATTATTTTGCTGCAAGTGAGAGGCAAAAAACATCTTAGATAACTTTTCTAACTATTTCGTTTTTTATCAACATATCATGATTATAACATAGATTAGCATGATTTTATAGATTATGCTATTGATATGAAACATGTCTGAATGGATTGGATATTATTGGAGCTTAACTTTTTATAAGTAATATCCTTAAGCTTACTTGACATAACTTGTGTCTGTTAGCAAAAACTAATTATTTTCTAAAGCAAAACACTTGAATTAAAGAGCAGACAAAATTAATCTGCCTTATAAGCACTTATTTTTCACATTTTATTTATATTATACCTATTTGCTGAAGTGATTACCACCTTAGCTCAAAGTTTAAAAATACCGCAGAAAGGCCTCTCGAATATGCATTTAAAAAGTTGGAAAATATGCAAAATGAAGCAAGCAAAAAGTATGAAATGAGTTTAGTTGAAGAAATTAAAAGTCAGACAATTTTATCTCCAACTTTATGTATTATTAAAATTTGTTGATTGATAGAGTCTGCTAGTCATCTTTGTTATTGTGCTCGTTTTACTTTTAATTAGATAACTTTGAATTGGCCTTTGTAAGTTGCTTTTGACATGCTGACTTTGGACTAGAATTCAAGAGTCCTAAAAATTATTACTGCTATGAATAAATTTGATTCAGTATGGCTTGAAGATCAAGCTGACTCGATAAAAAATTAGTGCTCAAGTGTGCAATAAAGACTTACTTTAAGTTCTCGATGAGTCAAGTGCTACTAATAAATTGGAAAAAAATGATATCTTGTTATTCAGATTAATGCATCTCGCTTTGTAAGCTTCAGTTATAGTTTTCAGTTTGTTTTTTTTTCACAGCAGCAAGCAGTATTTGACTAAGAGTTACCAATTAATTTAATTAAGGAACATAAACATAAACATAATTAGCAAAATTCAGAAGTTAATAGCAGGCATCATTATTACAGCTTACAAAGTTATCTAACTAGTAATCATGAAAACTTTGATAATAAGTAAAAATATTTACTAATAATACATCTAATCCATTCATTTTATTTCTCTCGAGTAATTAATTTCAAAAACAGCACTGCAAAAGGCATGCAAAAAATTGTCTGCATTTATAAGTTTTGGTAAATTTAAAAAGAACTTTAGAAATATAGTAAGATTAAGAAGTATCCTTTGTAACTTTTACAGTATATTAATATTTATCTTATTAAGTTGACAGAAAATAATAGTGGAAGATTTTAAAGTTTTATTGCTAATTTTGGTTCAGAATGTTTATGACTTTTATAAAATAATTCTTGAAGGAAAAAATTTGTTCCATAGATTTTGCATCTTTACTTTGAAAATTTTCATGTCTGACTTTTAATTTTCAGATAATTCCATTTTTAATCATAGCAATGAAAATATTAAACGAATCAAAATTTAATCAGTCATAAACTTATTGGCAAAATATGGTATAATAACAAAAACTGCTGCAATCCTGGACTAATAATTTAACAGTGTTCAATATTTTAGCACAATATAAAGTTGTACAAATAGAAGTCGGAAGTAATAAACCGTTTGACAGAAAATTTTATTGCCGTACTCAAATTCACATTTGGAATTACGGTTTTCTAATGACTATGTTTCGCAAAACTATGAAAACTGAGTTTGGTTTGTATCTGAATGCTTTTGTCGACATGACATTGAGAGGATTTTGTAACTTAATTAATAATTTATTGTAGTTTTTCACCATCGCTTACTGCTTCTACTGTAAAGCAGTTTACAGTCATCAATATTTGATCCTAATCAAGAAGTTTTCACTATATTTATCAGCCTTAGTTGTTGCTTAGACTTAGTTTTGTTATTATTTATTTTTAAATGAAAAATTAGTGAAGAAAAAACTATTTTTGCTGTCAGAGAAGTTAATATATGAAAAATTGTAGAATATGCATTTCAAGATGAGCTGGGAGGAATATCATGCATACTCTGTGCATACTCAAATTGTAACTTTAATTCATTACACAGTAGGCAGTAATTTTTCTCTTTTATACTTGCTAAGCCTTTTTTGAAAAGTCTTTTCACAAGAATTATCTTTTTATGAGAATATAAAGTTGTGCAAACAGAAGTTGAAAAATATTAAACCGATTGGGAATAAATTGGTAATACGAAGTATTCAATAAAGGAATTATATACGCAAGTAAAATTGAGAGTTGATATGAAATTAAATTGAAGAGGGTTGTATACTTCTGGAAAGAAACAGATCAGAAACAAATCTTGGAGATTTTCCGAAGGAAAATTTTCAGTAAACTTGAGCTGAGTGTTTCCTTGTTGCTTCCATCATTATTACAACAAAATTATTAAAACATATCAAAAAAAGATAAAAATGGATAAACGAATACGGCACAGCCAAGTAATCGTTCAAGCGAATTAAATTTATGCAAATAGTTTTAAAAAATAAAATTTCTGAATCCAAGTGTAGTGCAAATTTTTTCTATTTATTCGTCCACCAATTAAGATTCTTCATCATCCTTTTTTATCTTAATTTCAAAAGTGCATAGTTCAATGTTGAACAAACAAATCTTATTCGAATTAGTCCGTTTCATTCTCGAACTTTCTCATTATTTGGGATTCATTATCACCGAAGGGCATATCTGGCAACAATTAATATCAGAAGCAGATTTATAGAGTTTCTTTTGTGTCTTTAAGATTGCTTTCAAATTCGAATAATAATAATAATAATAGTAATATATTTTGCTGAAAGTAAGTGTGTATTTGTATATATGCACGCTTGAATGTTTGCATTACACAAACTTCATCGCCATATTCAAATTTCTAAGAACAATAAGATTTGTATCGCCATTAATTAATTTCTTCGTTAACAACGATGAGCAAGTTGTTCTGGGCTGAGCAATAAAAGCAAAGAATTGCAAAAGCAAGCAATAAATAAACAGTATGAATCAATTCACGTCAAAATAGCAAGCATCCAAAGAAATTTTTCTCTACCACAATACATTCTATTTTGCTACAAAATTTTTTATTCACATATTTTAGCAAATAATTTCGGGTGATCTATTTTTAATATTCATTCACGTTTAGCTATTGACTTTAAATTTATGCAAAATAAATATCAAGCATTTACCATTCAGATCAATCTTAAATTTATTTTGGTCAGTCATGAACCTAACAATTAAAAAACCACTAGCTCAGCCACACAGAAATATATTTACAAAGTATGAAGTTTACGGCATTCCTACACACTGAGCACATATACAATTATGATAATGCTGAAATAAAAAATAAAAAAACCACTTTTCAACCTGAACACTTTCTTATTAAAGCTGCCAGTTATAAAATCAACCCAATTAAGCGGGATTTTGATATTATGAAAAACGATTAAAATGAATTCTCTACGCAAAATTCTCTGCATAGTGTTTATTAGATAGATATTCTCAAAAATTATCAATGGTTAATAGATAGCCTTCAGTTAATAATATAAACACTGAGGGAATTTATTATAATGTTTAAATGCTAATATTTGAAGATTTGCATCAGCATCTGTTTTTATTGCTGTATTGAAGATTCCAAAGAACATTGAGTATTGTGTTTCAGTAATTGACTCCATCCTTGAAAACAGCATCAGTGACAGCTACAACAAAGATCTTGAAGGAGACATGAAGTAAAGTAGGCGGTCGGATTGGTGCAGCAGTCTCTCTTCACAATGTTCCTACGTGTCACCTTGCAAACAATGAAAGCTATCAAATTACTAAGTCCCAAAATGAGGTCCAATTACATTTACTTGCATATTTTACAGTTATGCATAGTAATTATTTAAATCCGCATGAACTTCAAAAATGAACACATTTTCAATTCAGAAAATATTTGAGAAAATAAAAAATGTCTCTCTTAATTAACTTAGTTTCACTATATGCTAATTTTTGCACATTCAACTTGCAATGTAACGATTAAAAATTTGACTTTCACATCATTATGAATCAGTGAGAAATGTAGAATTTTCTATCAAATGTATAAATACAAGAATTATAAATTTTGAACGGTAAGACTGCTTTCAATGATATGTTTTTCCTTACTTTGATTGAATACAAAAATATTTGATGCAATTAAAATATATTCTATTTGCTCAGAGAGAACATGAACGAATTACAAATATAGCGTTCTTTTTCAGTTTTTAAACTAAAATTTTTTTACAAAACAATTACAATAGTGATCACTGTGAATATCACTTCAAGAAAAGATTTCTTTATAAGTAGTTATTTAGGCTATTGTTTTAAATGCAAATAAGACTACAGACAGACGTCATAATTTATGCTTTTTTTAGCAGATTAACACACTCGCTCCTTGAGTAGCTTCAGAGATTCAGCTCCAAAAATTGCTTCTCATGACTGATTCCTAGCTGCTTATAATCAGTTTTCAATGAAATTAGATCCCTCACAAAGCCTTTATTTTCTTCCCAAATCAAATACACGTTATTCTGTTTGAACTCGGCTCCAGGTGCTTTTTACAGATTAAATACGAGTGTATACCCTTCCAAATTATTCACCTCCCAAATCATTATTTGATTCCGGAACTAACTTTCAAATCATATTGTTTGAAGTTTGTTAACAAAAAACTTGATGCATTTCAGAATGACAAATCATCATATACAGAGGATATGTAACAAAACTTTATCAATCCTGTGTAGGCTGCGACCGCGCATATGTCTACCGTGGTTTATCGACCTATTTTGAGTGCAGTTCTGGATATTTTCCAGAAGACACTATCTCAATATGATATTCGCCAGATGTAGAGTTATGTATGCACTTACATTTACGTAAAGGATGAATGACCTTTTAGACTGGTAAAATGACTAGATCATTCTATTAATAACAGTGAGTGATTGAGTTTCACAAGCTTTAATCGTAGTTTGATGGAAATTTGGTTTGTTTCACATTTTAATGCTGAATATTCACACCAAAATACATGTTTTATGACAAATGAACTTGAAGCTACGATGTTATAAATAAGTGAAAAAAGAGAAAGCTAAAGTGGAAATCTAACAAGATTGTCATTAACGAAAGTTATTTAGGCTATTCCTGTAAATGCAAATAAGCCTACAGATGTATGTCATAATTTATGCAAGAGTTATAACAGATTAACGATTAACGCACTCGTTAATCTGCTACAACTCTAACGTAAAAGAAAAAGGGTAGTATTACATGTCATATTTGTGTGATATGACATAAAATACCATTTTTTCGCCTCATTTTATATAATTACGTATTTTATAAAAGCCATGAAACAAATTACAACAAAAGCTGAAAATTAAATGATTGAAACAAAACATGCTAAGTGCAAAATTATGGAAAATCCATCCTATGTACAAAAAGGCATCTAGATCGATAAAATACTAATGCCTGCAAAAGGATATTAATTATTGACAAACTTGTTTGAGTACAAAATAAGAACAGGTCTTGCTACTATACTGTCCATTATAAATCATAACAGCTATGAGACTGCAAGAGTTGAATGACACTTGACGATAAAATCATTAAATGTTTCTTTTATATACAAGAGCTGTCCAAAAGGATTTTTAAGTGGCTCATTTTCATACGAATGCCTTTTGTCTTTCCATACATTAAACTGCTGCCGAAAGTTTCTCGCTTCTAACTCATCACCAATAGTTTCATAAGCAAACGCTATTCCGTCATAAATAATTCCCAGCCCAGAACACTCTTCGCCGAACGTTCTTATTTCTAGAAATCATAAAATCTACAACTTCCATAATTTCATATTTGAAAACCAGGCTTTTATCTGAAGAAAGCGGATATGCACCAACACAATTAATCGATATATGATACAGCTACTACAGCAAAATTCAGTACAACTTCAAGAGTATTTTGTGTAAAAATATTTATGTACCTGCCTGCTTCATAAAACGATGCATGGATTTTCAGAAAAACTAACGGAAAACATAATGAAATGATTCATCAGAAAGTTGAAATTCGGCCAAATTTTGACAAGTATATTAAAAGTTTGATGCCTTTCTGAGAGTTTATTTCGATGAAAAAATAAACTTGATGATCACAAAACTCCAAAGAAGTCTTTTTTGAAATACTTTATCTAAAATTTAACTAACCAATTTCGAGAGATTTTTTGAGAAGAAATACTGCGTCATTAATTCGATTTTTGTCTTTCAGATAAAGACATGCCAAAGATATCATGGTTAAAGCTGTTTCATGATCATTAGGACCATATATTAATTTCTTCATTTGTAGAGACTTTTCAAACATTTCCTCAGCAATCTGAAACAATTAATAACGCTTAATATCATTTTTACTCTTTTTAAAACTCACTTGAAAAAACGACTAGAAAATTTCAAACAAAACTGAACTGGATTTTTGAAATAAAGTTATCTGAAGCATAATCTTACCTCTGCCTTTCCCAAACATCGGAATATCAAACCGAGATAATCGTACGTCTTTGCAGAGCTCACATTGTTAGCACTTAAACTAGAATACTTATTCAAAGCATGAATGTGTACTTTTATTGCTTTCTTGAACTGCGGCTGTTGGGTTTCTGCATTCAGTGAGACCGTATTCACAAAAGCAACAGCTACAAAACACGACATATTATAAGCGCAAAACTTGTAGAAAACATGAATAAAAAGCTAAAATTCATTCATAATTTCCGATTTTAATTCAAAAAAAAAGCTGCATTATTCGACTGCCATTCAAAAAAACGAAGTAATAAACCTTGCAGCTGGCTGGTACATAAGGACAAGTAATGGTTATTCATTCGTTTTAGTTGGAAAATTTCTGATGCTTTTTTGAGATACTTGTCACAGCGCGACCTCAAATGGAAATATCTTTCCCTGAAAACTTATATGTATGTATATGGATAGACAACCTGAATTTTCGCAAATTATCATTTATCTAATAGTAGGATTGAAACAGTATGAGCAAAGCATACCTATGTGCACTATATGCAGAATAATTGCTATATAACAGTGTATATGTCGCATAAGCATATTCATACATAGCTTGACCATCACGAAAAGAACCTCCTCCAAAATACTTATGAACCAATTTTGCCATCACCTAGATTTTATAATTTACAATATTTTATTCCAAAAAATATCTCCACAAACGTTTTCTAAAATTTTTTAGCAGAATATTACTAAGTGTTCTTGGTCTACAGCGGAAAAAATGAATGCTATTCACTTTAGTTTTACGATACCTTATATCAACGATTGCCTGCACCAGTAATTATTAAATGCATCAAAAATAATTTACCAACACTTACAGTATAAACCTGTACAGACATTTCAACGTTATCTGAATGAAGCAAGCAATCGCCATAATCACATAACACAGAGCACAATAGACCTTCATGTTCTGGATGACCCAAGACAATTGCTAAAGCAAATCGAACACTTTTCAAAGCTAAATCAAAATGCCTCTTGAATATTAGCATTTTTGCCGTCATGCATAAAAGTTCCACTCGAGACTGCAAAAGTAATAGTTTGTATCTCAATGACACCAATTTATGTTATGACAGCTCGAAAATCGTTTACTGCTACATAAAATCCTCGCAATTTGAAATATGCGAAAAAGTTATTTACTGAAAAAGACTGAGAAAAAACCATTTACAGATATAATTTTAAACTGTTTCTTAAAAAACTTACAGCAGTCTGAGTCCAACTTTTACAAGCAGATTTCAAAGCCTTTAGACAAAACTCCATGGCTTTATTGTAATTTCCAATTACGTACCTAAAGCTTTCACTTTATAATGTTTACATACGGAAAAAAAGCTGTAAAATGTGAATATTAAAAAAAATTCAAACACAGCAGTAAGCGTTGTCACGAGTCTAAAAAACTGACCACAAACGAGCACATTGAGTTAAAACTTGTGTTAGATCCAAGGTTCTATTAGTCTCATCATCAACTAGCTTGTCAATCAACTCGTTGACAAATGTACATATTTCTACAGCTTCAGTGAATAATCCATTAGCGGTGCAATACTTCAAGATCCTTCAAAAAATATAAAGTAAAAATGCAGACCAATAAGGCTGCTATTGGTTTCAAAAAAAATACATATGTTTTCGGCCAAATGTTATTTCGCAGCTCACAATCTCATTTTTTTTCTCATTTCTCTATCTTAAAAGCGTACCAATAATTCAATTCCAATATTTTTTGCTGAGTAGAGAGATCTACTGGCCATTGGTCTAATATTTTTTGACAAAACTGGAAGATTTTGCTGCAATAATTGAAAGAACCGTGATCCACAAAAAAAGCACCTGAAAATGACTCTACTAAAATTTTGAAAGATAAATCATGTAGTTTTTGTTTTATGTGTAACCCTTAAAATATTAACAAAAAGCGGCATTAATTTCTCTGCTTCAAAAACAACTTTCTTTCCTATAAAATTTAAAGCAACAAGTAGAATTACCTATAGTAAGCATGGATTGAAATAATTCTGTATTTTTTTTTATTCCGTCGTCCATAAACCGTTGTTCTAAATCTTTGAATAAAACCTGCTCAGTAAGATAGTTTTTATGCACCATTCCACTGAATATTTTATGAACTGTTAACCTGTAATGCTGAGTTCAAAAATCACAACTTTTGGCAACAGCTTACTACTGACGATTACCACAAAAAATTTTTCTGAAGATTGAAAGAAATGTTACTGAATTGAACCTCCTGGAAAACTTAAAGAAGTAACTGTCATACATATGTCTTTTTTAACCATGAGATTAATCGAAAAAAAAATTTCAAGAGTTTTTCATGAAATCAAATGTAATTTCATTAAAATTTTTAGTACTTCCAATTATAACATGGTAAACCTTTTCATTTTCCATTTTAAGACTCTGTGAAATTTGTCCACGTTACTCCAATCCCTACGTAATAAATGAAACTTCTTTTTTTGAAACAAATGAACATAAAGCTCAAACAGTAAAGAATCTGGAAGCAGATATACTTCATCCGGCACACTTCTGATTACATCCGCAAAAAAATTCAAGGTAATAGTTGCCAATGATTCTGTAAACAATGCAATCTTTAGAAGAAAAGGAACTAGCGGTTATTTGAATTGATTGAGCAAAAACAAAAAAAAAGATAATATTTTAAACCAATCTGACTTTATGCTGCGGCGCATGACTACAGAGTTACTTTACAAATGTCGAACTTAGAAGCAAACTGTAAGAGAACACAAAAACTTTTAACTTCCTTCATAAACTTTTCACTGTACATGTTTTTGAGAGATAAAAAAATTTTTTTTAATGAAAAATTTAATGAAATTGGAAATATTATTACACGGTTTGTATTTACATAGTCTTGATGCACTAATAATATAAACCTTCAAAGTAATATTTCTCATAGCCGAGTAACAATTTAAAGTCCTCTAAGCCATTTCACAAAATGATTTGACGGACTCCGTTAAAATATTTTGTCGCATTATGCTTTTTTCAATAATGAGTGATGAAAGTATAATGAGATAAAATATGGGTCACAAGTACTTAACCAATGAAAAGTATTGAATGTGATTCTTGGAGTCAAATTAAGTTCAATAATTTAAATTTAATGAAGTCAACTTACTTGGACTATTATGCATTCTTTGTTCGTCAGTCAAATTTTTTGCCTTCCAAGTCTTCAACATGTCGTCCCACTGTCCAAATACGGGGTCAAATAAGCCTCGCTCTATCACTAATTGTCGCATCTGGTCTCGCTGTCTCATCAGCTGACCAATCATACTGCGCAGTTGCACCATGAGTCCTGCCGCGACGTTTCCAATCCCACCTACTATTTGCTCATCTATTGCATGATGATCTCCTCTTTCCTCAGCACTAAATTTTAGCCAAAAAATCACCTCGAAATGAATAAATGCAATCAATTTTGCACTGAGTCACTACTTAACGTAAGCTTCACTAAAATGAGATATAATTAAACTTACTTTTCAAGAACCGCAAACTGTTCAGCTATGAGCATATTTGCATTATGCACTAACATGTGAAAATTTCTGTTAAAACGTTCTAGATTTGCCCCCTCTTCGCGAGGTGCCAGCATATTTGCGTCTACGGCAGGTAGCTCATCCAACATATTTTGCAAAATTCCATCAATGACCTCCTCATCACCTGGATCGCCAGCAATCCGGAGATTCGGTTCGTTAGCCATCTTGACTAATCTGAAACACCACAAAAGCCGAATTAATCAATACTCCGTTAATGGTGCAAGAGAAGACGACATTACGTCAAGCATTTCACTTGTGTGTACTTACATTTTACTTCGCTACCAAAAGTATGAACGACAAAAAAAAGGACGAGTCAATGACTTCCGTCAGATATGTAGACTATTTAATAATAATAATAATGTAGCTTCCAACCACTAATAATGATAATAATAATCATCAATAATATAATAATAAATTTATTTACTCCAGAACAGTATGCACTCACCAGTGGTAGTGTTGAGATTATTATTATTGTTTAAAGTTATTACTGTTATGACCGTAATGATCATCACCAAGCACAAGTTGTATCATTTTTATTCTTGATATAATTAATTATTAAAATTAAAATGACTAGTTAACTGCGGTACGAATATAATAAACCATCTCTTTACAATTTTGCTGTTTATTGATTCAATAATATTTACAAGACTAATTAAGGACTTGCGCAATTAATTAATTAATTCCATTTGTATCTAAGATTCAAAAAAAAGTTAAAAAATAAAAGTGAACGCAAAAGAGAGCAAACACATGCCCTTCGTGAAACGCGCAGTGCTCGAGGAAGGAATGAGTTAGAGTGCTTCTGTTACCCTGCAAATGACTGGAAAAAAGTGAGCCAATTTGAAAGTCAGAGATAGAGGAGGAATGCATATTGCTGATTGCTCTCATACATTTCCAATTAACTGTTGATTACTGGTCATTTTTGTTTGATTCTATGTGTGTCACGGTCAAAATAGCACTCAAAAGATGAAATGAAAAGCAAATGGCTTGGTAATTTCCACAAAAATTAGCACTTATTACACAGTCTGAAATGATGTTTGAAAAAAAGGTGGAAAAACTGACGAATGTTTTCGTTAAGTACCCAATTAATACATAGGTTTTGTTCATTGTAATTTTTCTATCAAGCCAATTAAATGGAACTGTACCGAAATTTGCATAATCAGCAAGCAAATGAGTGCATTATTTAAAAAAAAAGCAGCTCTCCTGAGCATCTCATTGTTAACGCGATTGTGAATACTGTGACGTGTTTTTGTTCTTGTAACAAACTGCCGAGGTTTATTTTAAGCTTTCATAATGTTTTCCACCTTTTAAAATCCACATTACAAATGCTTCTACTTGGTAGCGTTGATTATATTTTCTGCTTCTAACTTTTTGGCTTCACTGAGAATTAGACAAAGTTTCTTTTATACAGTTGTTGAGCTTGAGTCTTCTTCTCATTAAATATTAAGGTGGTAACAGATATAACGTTTCAAAGAAAGTGAAACTTTCCAAAATTTTTGCTAAATTACGAAGTATTTCAGTAAAATATCAATTATAATAAAAAGAAAAGCAATACTACTACGCATTAATCATAAGTGGGTATGCAATTGTATTTATTTTGCAATAATTTTCACTGAATACTGGTTAGCGTTGAAAGCACAATCAAAATAACAGATTCGCTTCTGCATAATGACTGAAGAGTTGGTGGATTTGAAAATAGGACAACAGGTGGGCAATTGGATTGTAGAGAAACGATTGGGTGGTGGGAGTTTTGGGGCCATTTATCTATGCAAAGACAGCAAGAAAGGAGGACAATATGCTTTAAAGGTCAGCACCGGAATTGATGAAGACTTTTTTTACATTAACAGCTTGTTTTTATTAGGTAATATTTTGAGCAAGCTGTACACGCATAAATGCCCGCTCGAAATGATTGCATTAAACTTTGCATGAACATCAAATAAACTAGCTAACTATATTTGTTGCGGTCATAATATTCAGTATTAAATGGTAATAGATAGTTTTGAAATGAAAAAATTGAAATTCGTTAAAAATTGTTGTAAGGTGGAAGAAGCTCATGTAATCATACAGTTATTAAAAATGGAACTTGTGGTGTTGAATGAGTTGAAAAACAGCAATACACGACATTTTTGTACTGTAGAAGACAAAGGTCGAGAGCAGAACTTTATTTACATAGTGATGACACTTGTTGGACGATCACTTGAGGTAGCAATTTTTTTTGTTACAACTCACAATGGAAACTTTATACTAGGCCAAAGAACAGCTATTAATATTTATGTTTCACGTGAAAGTAAGTAAGAAAATTAAGACAGTCCTTCAAACGTCGACTGAAAATTAAATTCGTTGAAATGAATCAAAAACTGGAAATTAAAGTTTTACTAAGCTTTGAGCTTAGCAGCTAATCAGTTCAGTTCCAAATAAATCTGTTAGTGATAGAATAATGCATGCATGCATATTTTAGGATCTACGAATCTCATCACCGCAGAGGAAATTTAGTTTGGGAACAGCAATAAGTGTGAGCATACAATGTCTTGAGGCACTGCAAGAATTACATTCTATAGGGTATTTGCACCGCGATGTGAAGCCAGGAAACTATACAACCGGTCGCGCAGAGATGAACGAACTTAGGAAGGTGTCAAGGCCTTATTCCATAAGGAGTGTTGCTTATCTAAGCTTGCACATTACTTCTTAGCTCGTATATTAATAATAGATAAAACGTAAATAATCAATCGAAAATTTTTATGTCTTGAATGTTGTGTATAAAACAAGTGAAGTAATCACTTGCAATTAAGATTTATCTGCTAGATTTTGGAATGTGTCGTAAATATATCCAACCTGATGGTACTATCAAAATGCCACGAACGCAAGCAGCCTTCCGCGGTAATTTTCGCCGTACTATCGATTTTTGTTGTCAATTCCAACACATTAACGCTATGAAATGGAAAAGAACAAAAATGGTGGCTGACAATGAAAAATTAGAGCTTTCTCTACGTTCTATTCCTTTAAATGTTTTTATTCTAAAATTTTGTAAATATTTTCATGCACCTGCGTATTCCTTAAGTTAGATTGAGTCTTCTAACTAAGTCCATGCAGCTATCAAACTTCAAAACTTACAGGGACAGTAAAATATGCCCCTTTGGCTTGCCACCTACGGAAGGATTTATGTCGTTTGGATGATTGTGAATCTTGGTTTTACATGATGATTGAAATCACCAAAGGCAGTCTCCCCTGGAGAAGCCTCAATGTACTACTGTATCTTTTCTGAATGCTTCATTACTTAAAAATACTTCTAATTTATACATTTCATAAAAGAAACGCGAAGAAATGCTTTATCTAATATTGGACCGAATTACTGACATATAGCTGTTGAGCGTTTCTAGAACCTGGATGAGGTTGGAAATTGCAAAAAGTATTGTCGATCGCGTCAGACGGAAGCAAGACAACTGTTCAGTGGTTGTCCACGAGATTATATTCAAGTGATGAGAATGATTGATAGAGGATATTATTTTGATGAACCAAAATATGAAGAAATGTATAGCATATTACGCAAGGTGCTTAAAATTGCTTGTGTTTCGGTAAGCACTAAACGTAAACGTTCAATCCAATTAATAGTATGGGTTAGTTACTGAAAACCTGTAAACTACATTTCATTGCAAGTGATACCTTAAATACCACTACTGTTGCCACCCAGTAATGCTGAGCTCAAAAAGAATGAAGTCAATAGTATTTAAGGGTCTAATACAATTACATTTATTCAGGAATATCCATACGATTGGGAATTAAAAGAATAAAAAGAAGGTCAGAACCAAGTAATTATACTGAAGTGAATAGCAAGAAAGCACAACATATAATGAATAAATCTTCAGAGAATGAAAGATTTTCTAAGAAAATGGGAAATAACAACTCCTGAACAGTAATTAATAATAAGACTACTCTTTTTTTCTCTGTCGATATTGAAGAACCCTTCACAATTTAACTTAAAAGTTTTGTGTACCTCTAGATATGTGCTATAAAATAAGTAGAAAAAATAATGTAAAGATTTTATTCAACTTACTGGCTGATATATATATATAAATTATAGATTCAAAGGTTAATGATCTACATTTGGAAATTGTAAATGATTCTTTATAAACAATATTAAGAACAGCATGTAATTGAAACGTCGTTGAATTTAATGCACAAATCTTCTAATTATTCACTCACTCCATTATAAAAATGACTATATCTGTACTTTCAACTCATTGAAAACAAAGTAAAGATTGAGAGCCCAGCTTTATATCTGGTTGAATTGCAAAGTCTGAAAAAACGAAAGACCTTGACGATAATACAATACATCATTTAAACGAATGATAACGAAAGTGTACAGTGGTAGCTTGTAAATATAATTCAGTTGACAAGCAATAAATATCTATATAGCCATTTTAAATTAACATATAATGGCCATTTAACGAAAAAGATAAATTAATGGGAGCTCAAGACTATGAATGTCAAAAAGTATATACAAAGAACCTAGTGATAATGATTTACTACTGATAAATCAGAAATTAAACGATCCTATTTGCAGTACCGAAAAGTGAAAAAGTAATTGCTCCAACAAAACATTGTAAAGATGTAAAAATAAATACGTAGGCCCATGTGCTACCAGTTTCATGTAATATATATCCGGCCATGTACACTCCTACAAAGCCCGTAATCGCAGCGAATGCATTGAAAACACCTAAAGAAAGCAATGCAAAACTTGAGAATCTTTAAAGATAAGAAATTTTTAAATATACTGATTTATCAATTGCACCAAAAAACAAAAATAGACATAGAATTATTTGATTTTAAAATAAAACAGTATGATTTGATTCTCTCTAACAAATCATTTTTTCTCTACTTGAGTACAGACCGCTTCACAAATATGAATATTCATCTTTTCTACTCTTTCCTCTAATTTTTATAGACTGCATAAAAAGCAAATCACCAAATACTGATCCAGTGTGATTGGGAGCAAGATCACATGGATTTACTGAAACACCACCGTGATGAAAACCACGTGCTGCCATGGCTAAGGTAAAAGTAGTCAAGGAAGAATTGAAACTCATGGACTGCGACGAAATTAACAAGCATACTGCCATTGCAACTAATGAAATGCCCTAAAATTTGAAATAATTATTGCTTAAATAATTTTCAAATAAAATCTGGGGTTAAAAGTTAAAAAAAAAAACAAAAAAACAGTATGCGACGAACCTCCATCAGTTTCCTAGTAACAGTGAGAGAATGTACACTGAGAAACAAAGTAGACGCAATGAACGGAGCAAAAAAAGAGGTTATTACGATCGCAAGGGAGGGTACAACATTATAAACAATTCCTTTAGCATCAGGATATGTATCAGAGAAATAATATGGAAGCCAACTAAACAATGTATAATATGCATTTGCACCACAATATTGTGCTATTGCTGCTGCCCTTAAAATTGTAATGCTTATAAATTTAGAATTGCTGCTGTATTAGTAGTGAAATTAATTACATAAAGTAACTTTCTTGAAACACAAATCATGAAACAAACGCTACTTATTTCAATCCATATAAAATGTGAAACTATAAATTTAGCATTTATAAATAGTAATCAGATTCGAACGTACCAAAAAGATGGATGTTTGAAAAGTGTAGCCCAAGGTACTATATTTTCTGATGTGTTAATGAGAAGAGGCTTCCGAATACCATGTTGAAGGTGACTATCACTCACAAAGCTGTCAGAATCAATAGATTTGTTACGAGATGAAGACATGAAGCGAAGCAACGTCCACCAAATAATGGACATGAACCCTAATGTATAATTATGGACCACTATGCCAGCAACTTTGGTGGAGAGTCTTGCAAAAAAGGAAAAAATAGAATGTTCTAAACAGATGACGCAACAGCAAAATTGTTAACTATACCTACACACTGGAATAACGCACGCCAACCAAGATTTTCAAGTAATAATGAACCAACTGCGCCAGCCAGTGCTGTTCTACAATTTTAAATCTTTAAGATTTTATTAAACAAATATATAGCTGAAAAATCTAAAAATTGACAACAAAGGTTATTTAATACCCAAGATGAGATCCTGCCAGACATATACCAAACACACGTCCTTTATCATGTGAGGTCAGATGTCGAGAAATCAGTGATGCCATTGACGGAAGATGAAAAGCTGCATGCATGAAACAAAAATATTAGTAAAATTCAATTTAAAATTTAAAAAAATATATCAAGACGAACAAAAAAACTAAACTGATTTTGCACAATACCAAAACCACTCAAGTATAGTAGTAATTTACCCTGCCCAATTCCTGTTGCAGAACGTATCAATATAATGATAAACATTGGATTATTTGTAGAATATGAGATGTCGAAGAGATGAGGAGTGAAAAAAGTAAGCAATGCCCATGTTACTGTACTGATTCTTAATATTCTTTCTCCACCACAGCGATCAGCCAGGTAGCCAGCAATCACTTGAGTGCAAGCATAACCCCAAAAGAATGAAGACAATACAATTCCCTTAAATAATAGTAGAAACCAAATTTAACAAATTTTCCAATTTCATCTCTTTTTTTGCTTGTGTGTTAATATTTCATCCTTCAGTAGTAATATAAACTACATCCCAGCAATTGCAAACAAATACTTAAAGTACTGTTTTAGAAACTCATAAGCTAAGGCTGTACCGCATCGTTTTTATTCCAGGAGTATTCATGAGCAATAACCGTTGCACATACAGGTAAAGCAACGCGAGCTGCATATAGCATACATGTACCAAGAAACAAATTTATTGTCCACAGACGACATTCCCATCTGTAAATCAAATATTACAAGATCGACATGGAAACTTACCACTTTTTGATTATTACCATGAAATACAAAACATTCTAAAGATAAGTTTAGAATAGTCTACTGACCAAACTGCAGGTAACGTTATACTTAAACCGGATTGAGGTCAGTCTTGGTGAGATGATCTTTGAATCAAACCTGCTCCACGGCTTATTTTCGCCCCCAACACTTTCAATATCTTGCTGTGACGCTTTCATGTCGGCGGGCAAAGAAGAGCCCGCCGTGACAACAGTACGGAAATTTTTCTTGTCGACTTCTTCTGCTTCAAACGTTTAATTTAAACAACCTGCAACACAGCTTCAGATTCGACGCATTGCACTTACATTTTACGCTTCACTTCAAATACAGCGTACATGCTGGTCATTTATATAAATCAAAACAAACGAAAACTTAATCTGTTCAATACTTAGATATCATCATTAACAACACTGGAAATATACTCATTACTTTTATAGAAATGATGAAATGTATCCATTACATTTCCAAGTACTTTGGTAAGATTGAAAAAAACAAATTACATGATTTCGAAGTTCACGTTGATATAACACATCGAAAATTCGCGAATACGTCAACATATAGAATAGGAAAAAAGAGAGGGAAAGAAACCCACAAGAAGTTGACTGAACGAACACCAGGTGAGAGTCAAAAGGTGAACCTGAACTCTGGTCCAATCTCCGACCACACCCATTTCTCAGCCGCATTTTTTTGACTTCCATTGATATCACAAGATCTCTAACTCTCTACTTCCTCTTCTACAAGATCCATCTCTCCTCACTAACTGGTTATTACAGACACGATGCTCTCCTCCTTTAGTACTATGTATCGAACTTTTCTTCCGCGTCTTCTTCCTTTTCATTCACCGCCCACCCATCCATTCATTCCTTCTTTCAATTTCTTGCAGTTGGTAAAAACCGTTTACAAAACAAAATACGACAGAATGTAATTTTTCGAAACACATGCTAATTGCATTGTTACGTATTGTAAACGCAGTATATAAGGAGTGAAATCATGTCATGCACTTATGTTTATGTGGAAGCGTATTCACGTAGAAACGAGAAAATGATCACTTCCGTATTTCATGAGAAGAAAAATAATCGATGAGAACGAAAAATACAAAATGCGAAGAAGCAAGACTCCCGTTCGGAAGTGAGCACAGAACAAAATATATTCGTGAAAAAATGATATGGTGTAATACATGTTTTCAGCGTATGAGAGAGGCGGATTAACAGAAAGGTCAGATCTCATGAAGAGGAGGAGACTACGATGTGGCGATCAGTCGTTATTTTTGTTGCAAAAGAAAGTGAGTGACGTAGAGTGCAATGGACTGGAGAGTGAATTGGTACGGAAGTGACCTTGAAGTGGAACTCAGTCTGTAGGCAAACAAAGAATTGATTTGTTATGCAGGAAAACGAAAAGCAAAAAATGCTGCTACCTTTTATTTGGAAGGGTATTGCCTCCATGGAAACGATCTCCCTCCAGTGAAAGCGAAAATAATTTAAAATGAAACATTGCAGTTTTCTTACATTGTTCCCTCTGCAAACTTTTTATCTGACATTCAATTTCTACCGTAGTCAACAGTTCGCTCACACTCACTCACAATACATACATATATCAGGCATTTCACATCTCATTCATACATAATGCTTGCGTGTTGTACGCTGTAACTAATCGAGTTGATTAGTGCACTTATTCATATTATTCCGAATTTGCATAGTCATTTACTTGTAACAATCATACAGAATTAAATGATTAAGTAGATTAAGTCAGCATTCATAACAACTTACAATAGCATTACAAGACAACCATTGATAGTAATGGATTAAAGTGAATTCCAGTGCACAATTCTTTCATGGAGTGTTATCACACAAAACTTGTCACTTCAGAATTTCCAAGTACTTCATTAAAAAACTTCAATTTACTTGAACTCATTCAGAGAATTGTATACTTTTTCTCACCTAATATAAAAACGAAAATGTAACGTACACCAGCAATTTATTTCTGTTAAAAAATTTAATAAATTACAAATTAAACTGATAGTTTTTTCTCTTCATTTATCTCAAATTTGTGACCTCGTCTTCATCAGTCAACGATCCAAAAATCAGAAAATATAAAATTTTGACCGTTTTGAACACACCAACCACATTTTTGAAATGGATTATCGATTACTGCAGTTTTCAAGAAATATAAATAATACTAAGTCAAAAATTCATTAAAAATTATTTAGTTTAAAGCGGTTTTTGATTAATAGATAAGGATCTGATAAGAATTACGTAGTGTTTGATAAGCAACTTAAAAACAGTTAGTTAGTGGCTGATAAATGATTGATAATATACTTTTAAAATGATGACACATAGTTTTGATGATCAAAAAAAAATTGATAACGACCTGATAAGCGATAAACATATTTTCACTAATCACTTAGTGCTACAGTCAAAAATGTCATATGTTATTCAATTTGCATAAAATAACGATTATTTGAAATGAGCAAAATTAATGCATAATATGCAATAAATTGGAAATATTAAAAATGAAAATTAACGATAAATTTTGCAATAAAAGTGAGGAAAATGCATAAAAAGCCCAAACATTTGTAGCGTTCAATCCAGCAGTGAACGGTGTAAACTCTACATTTGATATACTTTATCTTCGACAAACTTTATAGTGGTTTGATCGAAATTTTTATTAGTTCACGCAATGAGTATTCAGTCGACACCAACTTCAAAAACCGCAATTTCAACCAGTGCGTCTTCAACGACATCACCCGACACTCAACGAACATCACCAAGTCTCCAACAATGTCTTATATCGTTCATTCCTGCAATTCCTACTTATTTTCCAGCATATCTAAATATTTTCGTCATTAATAACAGCAGAAACAATATCCATAATTGTAGCATGATCAAAATTATTACTTTTACTGACTGCCATGATTGCAAATAATTTCATTACATATATTTATATAATAAATAATAATAAATATAATAAATCTATTAGTAATAGGAAACTTAAAGACTGTGATTGGATTTGGTTTTTAGCTACAAAGAAACTAATTATTCGAAGAAGATCAACACGAGGTGTGCAATTCTTGATGCATGTTGTATTTCTTGCTAAAAAAATAAGTGCATTCAGATTTGAAGTTAACTGTAGTGAAAATCAAAAGTTATGACTATCCTTAGTTTGGTTATCACAATGAACATTTCAGGATCAAAAATGTACTCAAAATCTGCAGCCTTGCGATCTACAACATCACCTTCTGAGGTATTTTAACTTCTTTTTCTGATGGAAAAACAAAAACAGTATTGTGATTAAAACCGTCTAAATCTTAAATTAGCACTCATATTAACGAAAAGATCAAATTGATGAAAATACTTAATTGTATTAGGACAAAATAGAGCATAGATTTTGTTGATCAATCCCAATTTGTAAACAATTCAAACTAAAATACATTCACTTTAATCAAACAAAATCAAAATTCAATTTTACGAGAATATAAAACAAGGCGGAAATAATTTGCAGTATTTTTCTAATGAATCTTTGCAAGAAAGTGGGATGACGCAGTCGCTGCGCAATAAAAAACTTATTCAGGTCATCGCATCATTAATTAATGACTCTGTTTTTTGCAATAAATGCATAATTGATTCAAATGGTGGTATTATTTCAATATTTTTCACGCTAATGATAACTTTTTGAAACAGTCTCATTTTTTTTAAGTGATTAAGGCATTTAGGCATCATGAATATCATTACTGAAATTTCATGTACTTTTGCTGTTTTCATCTGCTACAGATCATGTCTGAGGAAGCCGGAGGAACAGCTCGGCAGGTAGAAGACGAACCATTCTATCATGGTTTCATGTCACACGACGAGTGTAAACCATTACTAACAACTCCCGGAGATTTTTTGGTTCGACGCGCGGAGATTGAAGGCGAATTACAATATGTTATCACTGTCTTAACGGACGCAAAAGAAACTGCAAATTTTGTTATCAAAAAAACTCGTTCAGTGAGCTATTATTTTGTTTCTATAAATATGGATATCTTTAATAATTTATAACTTGAAAGGAGCATTACTTCAGTGTAGAGGTATGTGTCATAGTCAGCGTAAGAATGCAAAATTAACAAAAAATATGACGAAAATGTTTTAAAATGAGCAGGTAGTTCTTGTGAATCAACAATTTTAGCATGAAAAGATTTTGGAAAAGCGTGGGCATAACTGTAACGAGCGCTCGAATCTGAAATGCGTTTAAAAATGAGTGAACCAAAACACTAGTGCAGAGGAGATACATCTTGACTTTTTTTTCTTATCTGTAAAATTTAAATTGCAGAAACACCTGTATTACGTGCACTGTTACGCATTTAAAACAATTTCTGACTTAATAGCCTATCACACGAGGTTGAAGAAGGCACTAAATCAAGAAAATGTATGCATTATAAAAGGAATTGCTAAAAGCGATTGGCAACTTGCTCATGAACAGGTTTATTTTTCAGTGAAGTTTCAAGTAAGCGAACGGAAACTTACTGACTTGATCATACCTATCGATTTTTAAAATCAGAAATAGTTTTTTCAATGTGTTATACTTCATTGTTAGCTCTTGAAGATATGACAATCTTTTGATGTCTCAAAAGTCATTGAGCCTAACGCTATCAACTGCTTTTGTCGCAGTGTGAATCTACTTTTGTGTCGCAGTGCTTTAGTTGTTATAAAATAATTTTATAAAAGTCATTAATCACATAATTCATGTTCACCCAACACAATGCACTTTCTAAGTTATACAGATTGAGCGGAATAAAAAATTGGGTGAAGGAGCGTTTGGGGAAGTATGGGAAGGTACTTTAAATCAAGGTGTTTTCCGAGGCCATGTACCTGTAGCAGTTAAAACACTTCACGCTGAAAATATTAGCACTGATGAACGACTGAAATTTCTACGTGAAGCAAATTTAATGCTCAAACTAAGCCACCCAAATATTATTAAATTTTATGGAGTGGCAACTTCCAAAGATCCAATCATGATCGTAATGGAATTAGCAGTTGGTGGAACACTTCTTGTCCGTATCCAAAATAAAGAAAATCCGGTATATTTAGCTCAAAATGCATGTTTGATAGCGTAAATAAATATAAGAGTAAATTGGTAGCTAAACGCAAAAGTAAACAAAATTACGGATGGATAAGTGAAAAAAAGAAGCAAATGAATGCACACAATGAGTTTGAAAAATGTCTGCTTTGTGCCTCAAGACTAAATCTTCAAAGCACATGTAATTAGTTCCCGTCTTATTGACTTATTACCATTCTGCAGTGGATTAATTACCATTATAGCCAAGTGATGACGACAAAATGAGATATTGTGTTGGAGCAGTAGCAGGCCTAGCTTATCTGGAAAGTATGCAGATCATCCATCGTGATATTGCAGCTCGAAACTGCTTACTAAGTGCTGATGATGAAGTAAAATTGAGCGATTTCGGACTGTCATTATTAGGAATCAAATACCGGGAAAGGCACATGAAGAATGTACCGGTAAGGTGAGTCAATAATACTACTATTTGGAATTACGATTGAAAGATTTAAAAGTAGACGACTATGTTTACTTAGGGAACCATATTTTCAAGAATCAGACTTATATTCTCATTCTTTCTACGTGTACTTAAACTTCATTGTCCCGTAATAATGATTTTACAGATGGCTAGCACCAGAAACTCTAAAATATGGTCGATTCTCCTCCAAAACAGATGTTTGGAGTTTTGGAATAACTATTTGGGAAATCTATTCAGGTGGCAAAGAGCCATATTCAGAAGTAAAAGACAACAAGGAACTACGAAAAGGAATCACTGGGAAAAAAGTAAAATAAAGATAGAAATCATCAGCACTCAAAAAAATAAACAGTTGAAAGGTTATAGGCCTCAGGAATACACAAGTATAAATAAATTTCAGTTGAAAGTGTCAATTCCACCTGGTATGCCACCACCGATGCAATTCATCATGATGAGTTGTTTGGAGCCCGATTCGGAGAAGCGTCCGACATTTCGAACTTTAAACGGACAATTGATGGCTATTCGACCCGTAACCGGAACTGCCGCCAGACTTTCATCCAAAATAAAAGGATTATTTGGCTTTTAACAGAAGATTGCTAAGAACATTATGCAAAGCTTTTGTTAATGAGCACTCCATCATTCACTGTAAACCAAACCAGATTTTTCTTTTAATAGTATTATCAAAATATACTTTAAATTGTTGTGCAATAATTGAAAACATTCTGAATGTTGTACAATAATTGAAAACATTTTATACCATACCAATGGATTTTGGCAAAAATACAAAATCTTCGATAAAAAACTAAATTTCCATTGTTTTTCGCCAGAATTCATTCACGTTATAAAATTCAAGTGCGATTAACTTTTATGCGAAATTGAGATTCCAGTATCTTTCATCTTCAAATAAAGATCAATCAACAAAAAGAGAATTTGCTATCAATATCAATCGAAAGTTAATCTTCGCAAATTTTTCGTCCATCTCGATATCCCCGAGACGTCACGATGATTGGTATTTCTGTTTCAATACCTGGAAATTTTTGCTTACTTGTACAGCCATCACTTCATTTCGAAGTTAATAAATTTTTTGCTCTTTCATTGAAGTTTAGCAAAACAACTTTTCTAAGGTGTGTCCATCTAAATAAATGCCTTCATATTCTCCTTCGTTTTTACACTTATTTCTGCTCTATTTATTACCTGTTAAGATATGTGAATACTAAACGTTTGATCTAATCATTTTCTACAATTAAAACGGAACTTATTAGCAATACTGTCCTTTTCTATTTGCTATTCCATTATTTCATCAATAACATTGGCATTACCGTATTTTACAAACTATAGTGCTGAGAACAAAGAATAACAACCTCAAGATTTTTTGAGAGATGGAGTGCCATGGAAACTTGATCATTTGGCATTAAATGATTTCAAATCTTATCATTTCAAATTTGCTTTGGTACGAATGCAAATTAAACCTGGGAAAGCAGTGAATTTGAGAGCGTAACTTATGGCAATAATATGTGATTCGAAGGAATTGCGATTATATATTTGAGTTGGTGGATAATTCTCAGGAATTTTGAGGTAACAATCGAGAAACTTCTGAAATCTTATTCATACGTCAGCTTATTTCTTAACAAAATATAATCATCACCATTTCTAGCACTATTCAGCAAAAAAAGGAAGAAAAACGATTTATAAATAAAATACCAATCTTTAAATTGACACTTTATTTTAAATTAACTCACACTTTGACTGCGAAATTTTACACTCCCTAATCCAGAACTCCCAATGACTTGTTCTGAAAGTTTCTTTTCCTTGATATGCTCATATCTGCTTACGGCTTCATATATAGTTTTCAGAACGATCAACAATGAGCAAGCTTTTAACGTTTTCCTTGTCCGATTTTTAATTTTGACACAGCACTGCAACGTCTGCAAGCCTTCACTTCAAGCTCACCTCCAATACTGCTTTGACATTAGCTAGGCATTAGATCAAAAACCATTCTGGCTAATTTCCAGATTTACTTAAGCTAATGAGAGAGATCCAAAAAATACATTTTTAAATAAAGTGATTAAAAGTGGTTTTCAAATCGACAAGCCAAAATTGAACTTTTGTCTTTCTCAGCTCAAATTTTCTTGATTGAAAAATCATTTGTTTTGAAACAAGCAAGATATACGATGTCATATTTGCAAGTAAGAAATACAAAAAACATAACTATTCAAACATTAAACTATAATACACGTCAGATTACATTTCGCCATGATTCTCATTCAGTGAGAATAAATGTTGATAGTGAAGGACAGGCATATTAAAAGAAGGACATCATTAGCAAAGTTTTTACTTATAAAATAAGAAATGTTTTTGTCCCCTTCATTTTGCAGGTAATTATTAAATATTATACTTCTGTAAGTTTGTATACTATAGTTAGCCTTGCTTAAAGCAGAAAATTATGCTGTTTAAGGATTAATGCGGAAAAATAACGTGCTAGTAAGTCAGAAACGATAAAGTATGGAATCTTAATTTTGCAAATAGAGCTTTGAAACGTAAAATTGACGTCATGTGAATTGAGCTTTGTTAACGAAAGGTTCGAGTTTAAGAAGCAAAATTAAAGATTTATTTGCGTTTGATGCCTCAAAACCACATGAAAGCACGAATTTCGCAACACGCGAGACAAGTAGTAAACTGAATCACATGGTCATCGTCGTTTTCTAGTTATCATATTCAATGTTCTGGAGCGTGAAAATGTTCCCATGGGAAATGCTGGTCGCACTGCAGCTCGTTGTGCTGACGAACTTCTTGCAAATGATGTCATTTTCATGGATGAACAACTACCACCTTCACCGACATCATCTGCTTTGTTACGGAGTGTAGTAGTTCGAATTTGCTGCGAATTTAAGAGCACCGATAAAGCATTCTGAATGGCTTCTTGAATGTGCACTGCAGCCACGTACGCTAGTTCATCGACACTTCGAGTTGTTGTTGGTAAAATGCTTATTGATGACGCTGGCAAGAATTTGCTTTCGCGAATACTTATCGGTGGTCGGGAAGGGGCATTGCACGGCTTGCTACCGGCTTTAACGTAAAAATATTTACGATTTCGGCGACTTATTTGTTGCTTTTCCATCTTTGAGATCCATCCGCCAATTTCATAAATCTTCATTAATGCTCCATGTCGACGCCAAGGATTTGGACGTGCACGATCGGTTCGTTTTTCATATGTTCTAAAATGTCCGAGAATTGGCAATTCAAGAACATTTTGTGTTCCTTCCCACACAATTTGTGTACCACGGACACGTCTTGCTCCTGGCAGTCTTGCAGATTCCACGTACTTCTGACCAATAATATCGTCGTTGAAAAAAAATGGTTGCACGATAAGATGATCTTTATCAGGTGATTTGTCTAAACTTCGATCTGAATTTGGGCTTTCCTCGGGATTCGAAATTCCAGTCACTAAATCTTCGCTGTTATCATCAGAACTACTGTAAGACTTTGCCACCACTTTCCTTGACATCTTTACTCGGAGATCTTTGTGATTTCCCAACAATAGAAAATAAAGTTACACAAATCAGCGCTTATATATATTTTTTTCTAGATGAATTTCGATAATTTGAATACTTATGCACTCAATGAAATTTAAAGAATTTTGGTCTTACTTTGCATAATTATTACAATTATATTGGAAATTGCAGTGGGAAATAATCTTCAAGACACTGATATTTGAGAGACAAGTAAGAAGTTGACAGAAGCTGTTTGAATTTTTCTGTTAAAAAGTTAACCAAGTTTACGGAAATGAATTTGCAATTCATATTATAATTTGCATGATATATCATATTTTTTCTCAGTTGACACCTCAAATTAGTGCTTCAAAGCTTGAAAATTAGTAGATCAGGTACAAAGAGTAAAGATTCGAAATTAAGTATAGATCAACTACTTGATTTATAGTTTGATGTTCCCATTTTTAGACTTCACAATATCGCAGAAAATCACATATTATTCAGAAACATGACCTCCAAAGGCCTTAATTTCTTAGCTTTTGAGAGAGAAATGAAATGCACTTGCCACACAAGATAACAATGTATCAGCATTACCTCACCCAATTGAAATATACTTCTTGGAATCATGATTTTGAGCAAAACCACTCCGAACGGTAACGTGCAGCAAGTGAAGTCGACGTCATCTTTGTATTCTATCCTCCTCATTATATGTTCTGGAAAGTCGTCGAAAAACGATCGCGATATTACCGTAAAAGGGAAAGTTTCCGTGCAAGATGACTGAAATTAGTTTTCAGACGTAATATGTAAATCGAATAAAATAACGTGAAAAACTGTTCAAGAACAGTCCGTGATGGAAAATTATAATGAATCTGCATACAATTATTATCATACCTGTTCAGAATTCGTTTTGAGTACAACTTGAATAGTATATCGAATACTGCCAAATTCACTTTCATAACTACTTGGTGAATCTTTGGGTACCATAATTCTTAATGGAAACTGATGCCTTCCCATTGGTAAAATGGTACCAGTTTCTAAGAGTGGAATATGCGTCTTTAGGTAAGTCTGTAATGAGTACGCATTATATGTTGACAAAGTCTAGACTAAGTGTAGTTTAGATTTGAAATGCCGACAGTTTGGTACCAGAAGTAGAAGAATTAGTATTATATTCCAATAAACCTAGCAAAGTCGCTCTAGTTTTGGCTCTTTGCAAGAAAACTACACCATTTTTTACAAGTAAACTCTCCTCTAATTATTAGTAATAGAATCTTTTCGCTATTAGATACCAAATGCCATAATGAATGGTTTCATTTCTTCAGAGATGTCAAAGATTTTAGAAGAAATTGAAATACATATCCAATAACGTGAGATATACGAAAACTAGAAGGATGTATATGTAATTGTGAGTCTTTGTACAGTAACCTGTTGTAGTGAATGGTACCACTGATTAATTGTAGCATTACTTTTTTTTTCAAAGAGAAAACTGTAAGTTATTATTCTGCTGTGATTACAATCAGTAGAAAAAAAAAGATAGACATTTGCGATACTTCTATGAAGTCAAAGGGACTGCAACCATATCGGCGCCTCATTAAATGAGAAATAAATTTCTGTTATCAGGAATAAACATTTGTTTGCTAGTAATTGTTCAATTCAAGAAAGGTGCGAAGTAGAGAATGAAATAAAAATGTTGTGAAAAACGAATTTACTTCTTCATTTTCATAAATCTTATCAGTGTGAATGTTCACCCAGCCAGTCCTGCCACATCCCTCTATTTTGGTGTAAAATTCCGTCACAATTGCTTCTGACTGAGTAGAATCGAGCAAAATCCTGGCGTACATTTCCTCTCCAGCTAGGACTCGTGTACTTTCGAGGAGTATATTTAGCGTAATTGATGGCATCTAAACATGATAAACATTTCACAACAAATGCACAGATGAATAAAAATAAATTAAAAACTGATTCAATATTATTGAATAGTCATTATTATTGTGTGGTATTATAAATTTTACTCTATTACACTTTGAAAGTCTGTGCATGATAATAAAATGGTAGAGATGGACTACCACTTTATTATTAATATTATTAATATTAATATTATTATTAATACTAATAACTACTATTATCATCACTGTCATCATAAATTTTATTACAGTACTGTCATTATTATCAACATCATTAACATACAACCTAGAATAGAGAGGATTCCAACGAACATTATTTACTGCATTAACAATACAAAAAACATAACTTTCTTTGCAGTAACTTTAAATATTCCAATATTTTTTAAATATCAAAAACTGCAATGTTTGAGAATAATTGGACATTGTGATTGAAGAGATGAGAATAATTTTAATTCAAATTTCTTTTCCTAACAAATAAGATTTGTTAATTCTTTGACCAACTGACTGCCCTAAAACTAAACAACAATATTTAGTGAATATCATCCAAATGCAACAACAGTAACAAATACTATTAGGTGCACAAAGGAATGTGGCATAGAGGTAATTCGGTGAAGTTAGGTTGCTTAGTACCGCACATAATATAACAAGACTGAATTGAAGTGAGTGACATTTCTTTCTATTTTTATAAAAATGAAAAATTTATTATTGCAGCATTCCTATTAATGCTTTCTATAAGTAGACTAACAAAAATATAGCATAGTATTTTAAGTGGGAAGGAAGAAATCATTGAACTCATAAAATAAGTGACTTTTCATATTTTTCCAAGGTTCCATTTTTTAAAGAATTTGAATCAATTTATCTACAAATAGAAAGTCGAAAAAAATTTGAATGGGTGTTAATTTTTTAGATAATCATATCAAGAAAATGAGTAAATAACGATCTAAATTTATAGGGAAATACAAAAACAAATTTTAAAAAACGTGAGAAAATATTGCATGAAATTCACTCTTATGTACTCAAATCAAAACAAATTTAGCATAGATTTTCTGAGAAATTTGTTAGAGAAAATAAGTCTTCATTGTGAACTCATTTTGCATGGAACTGAACAAAGCAGAACAAAGAGCGTAAAGTAAGTGAAAATGGCATGAAGAAGCACCAAGTACACTTCCGTTTCTATTGAATAAGAATTATTTTTTAATCACAAATAATGTCAGATAAAAGACTTTCTTCCCAATAGACTGATGTCTTCATTTGATACTAAAAACTTTTCAATATTAAAGATATTAAGTACGATTTAATATGTATTTTAATGTAATATTTTTCAAAACGCAAAAGAGAAAGCAAAGGAATACGGACAAATTTTCAGTAATAATCCGTTCAAAATTAATATTGTTAGGACAAATTATTTCCAAGAGATTGTAAGATAGCATAACAAATTAGACAGTGCTACATAAACGTAAGCTTTTCCTCTTTTTGTCATGAAATTGCTTCTGAAAAACCATTATTGTCTGCTGAGATAAGTCGAGTCTCCATTAATGAGATAACTCTTTCGTGTGCACGCAGATGAAAATACAAAATTAAACAAAAGTTAATTGTGCAAAGTAAATGAAAACTAAGGACATTTCTTATGGATAAAAAATAATTGATCATCCTCACTTTCTTCTATTCTTTAAAATTTTAATTTGTTTTTTTCACCCCCAAATAATGGGATAACAATATTTCAGCTATTCCTGAATTACTTTTCTGGCATTCGTCAGAACCATCAGTATTTGAATATAAATCAATAGTGTTTGATAATTTCTAGATAAAAATTTCCAAAGCTACGTGAAACATATTCTTCACGTAAAAAAGCGTAAGAAAGTAACATAACATTACCAAAGGTTCCTTTTTTAACTTTGCAAACCAGTATAAAATTTTTCTAAAAGACTTATTATAATATAGAGTTTTAAAAATTTTCAAACATTTTCAAAGCTAACAAGCATGTTCTAGATCATTTCTTGTTAGTGTCATTTCTAGTTTGCACAGTTCACGATTCGAATATATAGTCATGATTTTAAAAAAAGGAACAAATTGTTACTATGCAGTAGATCATGAATCATGAATTTATTTTTAGCAGAATTACATGTGTATACTATTTAATTATTCCTTTCTTAAAAAATTAATATGTCCAGAAATTCAAATGAAATGTTTAAATTAAAATAAGATGCGATTTTTTTACTGGTCTAAAAAAGAATTTGAAAAATCGAGGAAAATGTAGAGTAATTCTTAGCAGCCTTCGAAGGCAAGCAGTATTTTGTGTTCTGCGTTTGTGAAAAAAACCATTGCGTATATACGCAACTTTCATTAACTGCGAAATCGATATTAGCTTAAAAGGGTAGAAAAAGGAAAAAAGGGGGAAAAAACGTTTAATGCGTTTTTCAAGAATAAGAAATAACAGAGAATAGGAAAAGCATAAGTTATAAATAATGCAAAATATAATTTTGCTTGTCACTTACATCAAAAAAGTACTAAGATATTTAATAATTGACACTTATTTTTTAATTTTTTGGAATCAAACTGGATAAAAATCCAGCTAAATAATGCAATTTCACAAGGATCTATTAGATACATTTTTTATAAAAAATTTTTTTGAATAATCATAATTTAGCCATGATAATTAACCTAGCTATCATCACTGCCCAAATTATTTTTGACTTCTTTTTCCATATCTCATAATTACAGTGTGATCATAATCAAAAATCTTACTTCAGTGAATATTTGAGTTTTAATGCAAACTCTTGTCCTTTTTAACTTCAAAAGCAATTAAATTTATCAAAAATGTTGTTCAATAATGAGTGCGTAATTTATTCTGAATATTCTTGATTTTATTACCAAGGAGTTGAAGTGAAATTGAAACTGCAATTAAAGAAAGAAAGAAAAAAATTTACAGTTTTGCATGGATGAGAGGAAATTACAGAATGTCTAGCAAGAAATAAGATAATGGTAAAGAAGGGAAGCGTGGGGAAGTAGAGGAAAGGAAAAATGAATAAAAGTAATCGAAAATTCAATTTTGTCGAGAATATCGTAGATAGTGAGTACGTCGAGTAAGTTTTTAATGAGCAGACGTTCTTAGCAGAAATATTTATTAATTGATGACAAACAATTTTTCAGCCAAGTTTTTGCAATGCAATTTATTCAAATCAATTTCAAATTGCGAGCTTTATTCTATAGCCACTGATACTCTATAAAAGCAATGGTAAGATGATTAGTTAGGTGGTGCTAAGAATGCCTGGTCTGTCATTAAGTTACTTTGGTCTTAGCAAACTCAGAATCTCAATTGGAAAATAGAGATTTTTGTTCCTTGTCACAGACAGCATTAAGCCATTATTTTTTCTTCCAATTTATGAATGGACTGACAATCAGTCTAATACCACAACTCATGTTTATCACTAATCAGTAGAACGTTTGGTGATACATTTGTGAATGATAAGCCTAAATATTTTTGTGAACAAGCAGATGTTTCTAACTTTAACAAAATTGTCTAAAAATATAGTAAAATACTGAATAGTTGCCAATCATACAACGAATTTAAAAAATTTTTAAACGTAAATACTTTTACGGGAAAAACTGCCATCACAATCAGCATTCAACACATCTACAGTCTATTTAGTTAATTAAATATAAAAATACTTGATAAAATGCGAAAAACTGTTCTGAACATATTAGCTAAGGTATAGTAATTTCTAAAAAAAAATCAGCTGCAGAAAATATTTGTGAAGGCTCGTTTAACAGAAAGTTCACAGCGATTTCTCAAAATAACAAAATGAATAAAAATTTCCAGTCATTTCTGATTTGTTCTTTAATTTTTTTTGTTACTCCGTCATTTAAATTATTATGTTTCATTTCAAAATTTAAGGCACTTTTATCCATGAACTGAATTTGCATTTTCCACTTCATATTTATTTGCATTTCACGTCTGTAATAATAATAAATGGATGATGAGATTGATGTTGACACTATGATCCCAAAGATTATTTGAACAAAGGTGGTTTTATCTGGGAAGACCTATGACCTTCGTCAACACTCATTGACCTTAATGGTCACTCATTTCAGACCCTTTGCCTTAATTATTTTCATCTCGCTACTTTGTTCTTACTGGAATGTGCCGTCAATTTATTACTGTAAGAAATTTTCATTATTTTATATATACATCAATTTCTTGATTGTACGTCTTGATTGCTGTAAAATTTCTACTACCCATCGACTATTTTTTCCTCAATAAAATGATGTATTTTTTAATTGCTTTTAACGTAAGTTTTGTGTTCGTAGCCTCAAAATTAATTTCGAAGCCAATTAACTTAAAGTCATTAATTAACTAGAGGTCAATTAAAGTCTTCATTTTAGAACCGAAAATTCCTTTCCAATTTCCTCTCACACTCAAACAGTATCTTTGATCGAATTATTATAAATGTTAATCGTTTGTTGTGTGTCAAAGTTCAATTTTACTACAGTTTGATTTGTTTCTGACAGTTTCGCTTATTCAAGTCTTGTTGTCATTGTAGCAGTGCAGACAAAAATCAATGCCATTGTTACACCGGAAGGTTGGGAAGCTTCTAGAAAGGGTATGACTAGTGCTAAAATGAGTGAGGGAATGAATGCGAAATGTATGTCATTGTGTGCAGCGAGAGAAAATTGGAGAGGACCTTTCGGTTGCATAAGATTACTCAGTCTTTGTCTGCAGACAGTAACTCTACAGCTAGAGATGTAATAATTCTGTTTTTTATAGTTATTTTAGAGAAATAATAATAATTTTTTATAGTTATTGAAATTTTTGACGTAAGGAAGAAAGGGATATACGCAGTGCATTTCACCTTGATAAACCAACCAATCCTGTGCAGTAGATGTTGACTCTGACTTGCTTACAATGCCACGTTGTGTTATTCAGTAGTGACGTTGAATGCTATAATTTAACTGACCTCATGACCCTGCACTCTCGGCAATTTCTAGTTGTTTCGGCATTTTCTAGAAAATCAAGAGATTTTCTGGATGATCGTTCACTCATCGTACTGAGTCGTTCATCGCTGCAAAATTTCTAGCATTTATAGTAACAAATTGAAAAGCATTTTAGCCATTATTTATATCTTTGTCTTCTGCTCCCTACTACTACATTTTACACAATACCAGTTGTCGAATGAGTTGAAGAACTGAAAAGTTTCAGTTTACCAATTCTCCTTAATTTGTTCAGCATCGTACACACTCGTAGTACCTCTCTCTTTCTCCAATCTGAAAACGAAACTAAATCAAATTAGACAGATTTCTGACCTTTAATTGCTACTACAGCAATCAGATTCGTTCAGAACCAAGCAAAATTGTGCGTCTCCCTTTGAGATGGACTTCAATTCTTGACGCAGTTGTAAAGGTACTGGTTCGAAATGTCAAAGAATGCGTAAATTCTTCCTTTGCTCATCTGGTTACAGATGTCGTGCGAATATCTGTCTGCATGCTTGCCTCAATTCTTCAGTCCATCGGACATTCTTTACGTTTAGTTTCATACTGATTGCAAAATCGATTCTGAAACCGAACTTGGAACGAATTTACTTTTGTTTATCCAATAATCTATTCCATCCTTAACTCCTGTAATATGTTATTCATCATTTTAATATTGTGAGCTTGAGAATTTTCATGTCTAAGCAAACGCCATACAAGCATGAAAATGTTAATATGTGAAACGTTAAATGAGAATTGGAATCCTCGAAGGCAACTGTAGAGAATTCTTTCTTTAACTCTGTATCCATCAAACGAAAATTTGCATTTAACGAATATTTAATTATACGCCATCATGAAATGTGCAAGTGGTCCACTCCCCGACGTAACCTTTAAACCTATCACCACATCAGAGTGAAATAGTGATGAGCCGACAAAGTCTCTATGCCATTTTTCTCCGAAATACCAAGAAATACTGCCTCATATGCAGCAAATAAGCTGCCCACTTAATTTGAATATCATATAGTCCGAATAGCCATTTCTCATCAGCTTTTATTATACTATCTCTATATTTTTCCATCTCCAAAAATATTCTCTTCTCTAAATATTTTTCTTTCATTTTGCCATCTTTTCGAAATACAACATTGTAAAGAATAATTTTCAGTAGCTCAAAAAAAAGAGAAACATTTAAAAAATATTTGAAGGCTCTAAAAATTCTGTTTTTGGAAGAATTTTCAAGTCTTCAACTATTTGCTAGTTTTTTTTATTATTACAATTGCTTATCAAGGACTACCAGTAATTGACGCGAAAATTCCTCTCTGTTTTGCTCTTATGTATACCTACACATGATTTGTGGGGTTCATAAGAAAAAAACGTGCGTTTGCTGTCAATTAGTTCGTATGACTAAAACGGGATATAATAATGACATGGACCTCATTACCATTTTCTGCAGTATTTCTTTGCAAAATCGCTATTACACTAATTTGATTACACAAAATTTTTCTTTCTTGACTGAATAATTGTTGTTCAGTTGGTTTCTAATTAAGCTTTTCTCCACGCACTTGATGTTATTCCACATGTAGTAATCTATTGATTGCTCCGATCACTAATTCTGTAGCTATCAAAATTATAATCTCTGCTGTAATCAAACAGTAAATTTTTCTTGTGATTGTGTTAATATGTTCATCTTTCGCAAAAACATCTTTTGACTTATGTGATTGAAAATGAATATCAGTGTCAAATAGTTCCCGCTTTTATTGAAACGGCTCAATTCCGGTTAGTGACGGGCTTGTACAAAGGGGAGGAAGTACTCAGCATGAGCTGATGATTCACACATATTGGAATTCCTCGTTCAAAGGATATGATTGCGATTCTCTATGTATATGAGGCATAGTTTATACGAAATAGGTGTGGCGTGTGCAGACATTGAGCAGCGCCTCTTTTTCAATCTCTGCAATCATTTGTGTCTGCGTCCAGTTTTGTTCATTATTGATCAAAGTAAGACGCGCTGAAATAACTCATTTAGGCTGTTTTGAAGAAGCACTACTAACTGAATGTTCAGAGGCGTCTTCTGTACATCACTCAACTTGAAAAGTGTGAACAAATCAAGACGTTAATTATTAGATAAATAGAATATAAATCAAGTAAGAAATCAATCAATGTCTTTACTACTGCTTGTTCATAGAAGAATTTTGTCGTCAGTTCTCAGTTATCTGAAAATTCCTTTAATAATTTACACTATAATTTCTCGAGGCTCTTTAGTTCAAAGGCATAAATTTTTCAGTACTTGAGCATTTGAATATTCTTTTTTTGTCTACGATTAAGATAAGAAATCTCTTTTTTTTGCGGAACGTTAGTTAATATTTAATTATAATCATGAACACAATAATTATGACAGTTTTTATTATGTTGTGAATAATGATACTGTCGGTGATGATTCCGTGAAAATTAAGAGCAAAATGTAATGGCTAAAAACATCTAAATTCCTTTTTTCACTTGCAAAGTAATGGTTTTTGATCATTTCTATGAAGTTTTATATCGTGCGATTCAATATCTTTGGAGACTTCAAGTTGAGAAAACCATTTCTAAATTCACTGTTTTCGAGGAATATTTTTAAATTTAAGATTTATATTAGTTCTAATTTGTTTATCGCTAAATTTATATTTCGGACCTTACTTCACTGTTTTCATAACTCAATAATAATAAAAAATAACAGCAATGATAGTGACAATAATAATAGAAGTAATGCTATAATTATTATTGTAATAATTAAATAATGTTTTGAATATACTGCATTAAGTTTAACTGAGGGATTATCAAAAGTGACATTGATGATATGACGTTCCCTTAATTATTTATGTGAATTAAATTAAATTATATGAATCATTTTCATGAAATGAGAATGAACTGTTACATTTAATTATTATTATTTTTATATAGATTGTTCGTTACGAAAAGAATAATAGCATAAATTCAATTATATTTTATTATTTGTTGTCGTTTACCTCAGTTTTGAATTTATTAATGAACACTTTCTGTACATATCAATGTAACATGGGCTCTGTTTGAGGTATGTCAGATAGGGAGGTAAACATTTTTGGTAATGTTGCAGTTTTGAATACGAAGATTTGCTGTATATTATTTCATTTGCATCACTTATCATATTCAGCTTTCATATTTATTGACTTTCACATTTGATATAACTTTAGCACTTATGAGCTTCGTTGCTAAGGCCTTCTTTAGCGTTCTTTGCTTGCCTACTGCTCGCTATCATGCTTAAGGCCTGCAACACTCTCTCATCCCATCACTAAGTAGATTTTATAACCCAAATTGTTGACCACTTATTACATCTATTCATTCTCTATTTCAAGAATTCCACTTCGTTTCATTCTTCGAATCTTTATTGCAGCTACTAATTCATTCTTGTGAGAAATACTTATTCGTCTGCTCATTTATTCCTTTAATAAAGTTGCTCCATTTGATTAAATGGATAAAGCTAATGTGAAGTTTTCCAATTTATCTGTCCAATCTTGAGTATTAAAGGATTTCGGCTTTTTGTTGAGATTATAATCTCTTATTTTGTTCATAAGTCTCACAGTTACTTGTAACTAAGTTATCAGTATTATTATTAATGATCGTTATCATTGATATTGCTATCGAAATCTAAAGAAAGGAGAAATATTTGCTTCGAAATTGCGTTTGAATCATTGCAAACTCGTGTAAATTCAGCTACAAGATTGTTAGATGCGATCTTTATCTGATAAATTTTAAAGTTTTTACTTGCTTACTTTTTAAACTTTGACCCACTTTGCAATCTGATTACTTCGATGGGATTATGTGCTACTACTCCTAAACATGAAAAATATTCTATCGCATGCACCTATGTGCACAACTAATCGAAAAAATATGCCTCAACGCCAGCAGCATTTCTAAATTTGTTATTTCAACCTTTTTCGACTGAAATTATTTTCTCATTTACAAAGTTCGTATTTAGTTTTTTCATTATTACTACCTCCATTATTATTTTCAATCTCATCTCTGTAGCTGTTATTTACTGCATTTGCTACGGTTAAGTGGTGGTGTGTCTCCCTTGGACTTAAAACTGCGATGCATACTACAATTAACCATTGAAATGTCCTTGTAGCGATCTTCTCATCCATTGTCGCGCTGTCATTCCACCGCCTTATCCTTGCATTTTACAATGACAGCGTCATATCATCGCAGAAGGTTCGTTCCTTCCTTGTATTTTGACGAGAAATATTCGCTGCAAGGATTGATACAGCGCAACAAGCGTTATCATGTAACAGAAGTATACTTTTGTGCATTTTTACTTTGATAGCGTTATCATAAATCTTCTTTTTATCAATTTTCCATCGAAAACCACTGATTTTAATTTTTGGCACCTGAGCTCTTAATATCAGCAAAAAATGATTTTGACTGTTTGTCGATGCCAAATCATTGCAACAGCACAGAATTTCGTTCCTGACGAAAGCAATAAATAATGGAAATAATGATTGATGAGAACAGTGGTATCAGCATATTTTCACCTTAAAAAGTAGTACCATCACAGTTATAGCTGCTATCATCGCTCAACCTATATCTCATGCGCCTCTTTGTTAAGTAATAGTTAGTTACTATTGGTATACGTGGAAATGGTTGGCACATAGATTAATTCTTTAGGTGTATGAAAATAACGCGAAATTAGTTGCCTGCTGATGTTTTGACGCCTGAGTAGTATGTGAAAGGATTTATTTGCTTCTTTTTGATATTTTTCTTCAGCATACGATCTGGAACGAAGTTGCTTCAGTTAATTTGCTTGCGTGTGTGATACAAAAAGAAATACAAACTGTGAGATAGAAGTTGCATCCACAATAATAATTTGTTTGCAAATTGGAAAATTCTTTTTTATGATTAATTTTTGGCCAGCGAAACATCTGTAACATTTCTATGGTAAAAGGAGAAAGCGAAGTATGCCAATCTTTCTAACTAAAAGCGAATTCCGAGAGGGGAGAGCTTACTTTTTCACTCACAGCGTTAGTTTTTGTTTTTAGTTAAGACCAGGTAGATCGGTTGGTAAAATATTCGTCAGTGAGGAAATTAATCATTTAGTTATTAGTAATGAAATCAGATTGCTCTTGCTCAATTTATTGCGTGATATTGTTATTTACTCAGCAATACTTGTCGCTTGTATTGTAATTAGTGAGTAAATCAATAAGTAAGTTTGTAATTAAATTATGGAAGAAAGTAAGCTCATCAATACGTAGGATGTGCGATGTTAGTAGTAGCAACGAATTTAATAGTTGTAAAATACACCAAATGTGCTTCTGTTGAGTCGCAAAAGCTTTCTCTTTTCTGTATTGAATGATTACTAAAGTGATTGATAACCTGTTAATGACCCTTTTTACTTCTTCCTTACCTTTACAACCTTTAAACTCCAATAATTATTATTTATCACTGATATTACTTACTGTCATTACAAACTGCTACTGACTGTTTTTTCCATATTGTTATTGCTTTATTGAGTGAGCGTCTATCACCTTCGCTCATACTTTTCAAGAGCGCTTTCATTTTTTCATTCACAATGAAAGTAATGTAGAAAGATAAATAATTATGAAAGACTATTTGGCGCCATTTCTTGACTCGACCTGAAAATTGAATAGTAGTCGTCACTTTTGTGATCAAACTATGAGAATGATAAGTTTTTTAATTAACTTATCTGATTAGTGTATCAAAAAAGTCATCCCCATTTTTCTATTACTTTCGCAGTTTACACATAAGACAAAAAATTAAATTAAGTACAGAAATAGTTTACTTCTCTAACGTAATACTAATACAGTAATTGCTTAGTACAAATATACTCTCTCTTCGTTATCTGAAAAGGGGAAATATTCCAATTTTTAATGCTCAAGTAACTAAATGCTTTGTTTGCTAAGATTTTTGTGGGTTAATGCATATAGCAAAACCAGATAATGGCGATTTTTGCAAGTACTGATATGAATCTCTTTGAGTTTTTAAATTTAATAATAATAATAATAGTAATAATAATAATAATTCTGAAAATAATTTTTTCATCAAAACACTAGTGTTGATGGTTAATGAAAAAAATTGATTCCAATTATTTTACTTTCTAATTTGTTTTCTTTCTAAATGGTAATGCATAGTTTCTGTGCATACTGTTTTATTCTTCATTTCTGAATCTATATATCTCTATATTTATTTATTTATAGAACTTCAATTTAGCTTCAAGCTTAATAATTGACTTTAAATATTTCATGTAAGGAAAATGCCTTCATAGCTACTAGCACCATGCATTTGAGCGTTGGGTTAATTCCCAAAAGTGTTAGCTGAGTTTCGTCTAGCCTAACTGCTAGAGCCACAGTTTTTGCTTTCCAAACCCCTTTCCATCAAAGTCAGATACACCAGCCATTCATTTTTTTTACTGGCTATTCATTATTTTCAGAATTATTTCCTTTAGCACTTATTTCTGATAGTTTGAATATTTTCAGAAAAATCAGAGCAGATGCGAATTGATTGAACATACTTAATCAATTTTTGATGAGACTCTAACTTGCTATACTTATAGAACCAATCGCGTAGAAAAAATGCAACAAATCGATCTAACATTTCTTACCTTTCAAAAACGTAAATTAAATAATAGTTCATTGCTTCATTGCGCTTATGAATATCAAATTTTGGATTGTTTTTTTAAATAAACGAGTTGAAAGATTTGCAAGGGACTTTCAAAAGTCTCGAACTTGTAAAGTACTGTCGAAATAAATGCTTATATTTAAAATTGTTAGATTATTCTCTCATAGACGATGAAGCATATATCATTATGCATAGCTTACTGTGCACTACATTCATATTTTATCAGTGAATTTTCCCAGCATGTTTAACTAATAATGACAAATATTTGAAAAATTTATAGTAGAAGCGATTGATTGCTTGATTATGGCATTGATTGTTGTTAGTGAAATAACACAGTACTTCATACTTGGACGAATTTGAATATTTTGGGTATTTTTGGTGTCAACTCGATGATGAGAATTGGATTTCAGCGATGAAGATAGTATGATCAAGTTTGGTTCTGGGAGTTACAGTGTTCGAGAATCAGAAAGACTGAATCCACTGAACCTGACCTTACCAGTGCGGACCATCGCTTGCACAGTTATATTTCTCGACAACTCAATGCGAGATTTCGAGATTGAAGTTTGTCATTTTACAAAATTCCAAAATATTTCGGAAACAGGTCATAGCTACAATTGTGATTTAACTAATAAATGGGGTGAATAATAAAATCTTAGTATTGAAACTGCAGATGTAACGACTTATTACTTGGATGAAAATAAATCATATTTACTAACAAACAAAGCCTAAAATAAGAAAGATTACTTTATCGATGTTAAATAATTAAGTAAACGGTTGCTGTAAACTTTTGATTGGGCAGGTAGAAAATTATTTTAAAAATTTTAAATTTTGAAAAATGAAAGGATGAAAATTACGTACACATATGTTCGAAAACTGACAGTACAACGTTCACATTTCCCAAATTTCATTTATTATAGATGACTATGCAAATTAGGGAGTGCAGTTTGTACTGAGAAATTATTGAATAAAAACGAAGATGGAAGATACATATCTGGTAATAAGTTTATTTGGGTGTCAATTCTAGTTTGGCAAGCTAGTCTAGTTTTCTGTTTTCTTTAATTATTACAGCGCCATGCTAAAGGTCAGACATTACTAAATATGGTCTTCGATCATCTCGAGTTGATCGAGAAGGATTATTTCGGATTGCAGTACATTTCCGCTCTTGAGGCTAAGCAGGCTGGAGTTAAGGTAGATAAACTAAAAAATTTCACTCAATTTCGAAGCGTGAAGTATCTGAAAGCTATTGAAAATTTTGACACGTATAATAAGTGTAAAATATCAGTTGATTTGTTCTGAAATAATAACACTGACTCAAAGATTTGAATACACATGATCATTTTATATTTGATTCCATTATCATGTTTAGTGCTCGAATTTAAAATTCACTAGATTGCCGTATATTATCTTATTTTAAAAAGTTTCGAATTTACAGAGATAAAAATTATTTTTTCAAATTTCTAGTTCTGTTATTGAATTGTTCATTCTTAGCTCTTTACTATTCTTTCATATACCGAAATTGTTTTGCTGGGCGCAGAAATATCCTTCAAGTTTTTCAATACTTAATATCTGTGTCCTGAAAATATTTTCTCAGAAGAACTAATGATTATTAATGATATAAACTGCTGAACACAGTAATCAGAATTATTTGTTTAAGTCAAGGTGATTGCCTTTCAAATGGGAGAGCTACGAAATTATTCTGTTTCAGAAGTGGCTCGATCCAACGAAATCCATTAGGAAACAATTACTTTGTGAGTCTAGAATTATTTCATTCAGTTATAACAATAGATTTCTTGATTTTTGAAAATTTTTCTTTGAAAGTGTTGACATTAATTGTTGATCTTTGGCTTTTGATTTCGAACTAGAAACGTTGAATTCTGACGTTCAACAATTTCATTTTCAAATTAGTTTTGAAAAGATACTTGGAAATAATTAATATTTTTTCTTCTTCAGATCCACCATATCAACTACATTTTCGGCTTAAGTTTTATGTTAGTGATCCATCTAAGTTGATGGAAGAGTACACTAGGTTTGATTTACATCTTGTTTTTGTGATATTATTAAAGTAATCTACTGTGCATTGAACACTAATCGACTGCATGAATGCTTGAGTTTTATCTGTGGTTATATCTTTTCATTTTCGTACTATCATAAGTACATCTAATCGGATTATAGCTGAACACGATATTCTGAAAGTCACTACTGTATTGCAGTATTTCTTGCAGGTATCACGTATTTCTTCAGCTCAAGAAAGATTTGCTGGAAGGTCGATTAGTATGCCCAGAAAGCACTGCCGTAATGCTTGCAAGTTATGCTGCACAATGTATGCTCCGTCAAAAGTTGACTTTAAATCATTGAAAGTTAACTTAGCTTTTTCCTGAATTTGAATATATAAATTTTATGGTATCACTAGAAATATGTCTCTTGAAAGAAAACATGAAATAGTCGTGATATTTCTGTATTTTGGATGAGTGTAATTGCAGCTGAGTTCGGAGATTACAGTGAAGAAGAGCATGGTATTACATACCTCAATGAATGCCAGTTTGTCCCAGAACAGTCTAGTGCTTTGATTAAAAATGTCATTGACTTGCATAAACTTCACAAAGGTCAGAGTCCAGCTGAAGCGGAATTCAACTTTCTGAAGCATGCTAAAGATCTTGATCTCTATGGTGTGGACATTTATACTGCAAAGGTTCGCTGTTCATTTATATATGTTCGCCAAATTTTTAGTTGCATGGCGCTTTTAAGCAAATTGATACGCAGTTGCAGCTTGTCAAGGTTGCAAAAGCAATTAATAGAAGGCTCTATATTAAGCCATTTTCGGAAGTCTATTTCTAGAAGTTTGCATATTATAGGAGAGCAACGGTTCAGGGATCGGTGTTGGAGTGAGCAGTGCCGGAGTAGTGGTTATGCGGAGCAATCGTCGAGAATCAGTATATCCCTGGTCGGCTATCATGAAGCTATCGTTCAAGAAAAGACTGTTTAACATCCATATGCGCACACTTAACTCGGATAACGTTGGTGCTTAATACTTTCACGTATTATGTGCGTCAAATTTTTTACATGTTTTGGAATATTAAGAAATTATCATTTATGTAAATATTAACAAAAATTCATATATGAAAATTGCATTATATATTTAAGAGATATTCAAAGTAATATTGAAAAATATTCAGAGCTGTTGCCAAAATTTGACACACTTTCATTTATGTTTTTAAGAATGTTTTCTAAAAATCGAAGTTGTAAATTTTGTATTTCTAACTAGTTGCAGCTAATGAGAATAGTTTAGATTGAAGAAGACACAGTGATTATTTTTAATATTGAAAATTCGGAAAGTTGCAAGGCATTATGGAAGAGTTGCATTGAGCATCACACCTTTTTCCGTCTCATCACAGCACCTGCACCGCCACCTAAGTCTATTTTCAACATTGGAAGTCGATTTCGATACAGGTCATCATATCATCATATATAACGTCTTAGAATTGAAAGCTCTTAAAGATATTGAAATTGTTGACGAGGATAAGAAATGTAGTTTACTCATTTTTATTAAATTTTGCTTTGTTTCTTAAGCATTACCATACCAACTTGGCAAATTTCACAGTTTGTTATGCAAATTTGTTATTTTGATTAAATTACATTAATATACAAAACTAACGGCTATTTCTGCTTAGATAAATTAAAACAGTTCTCCTCTGAGCCATATTAAAAACCGCACATTGCCCTGTATGCTTTACTTAGTTTCCGTCTATTTACTTAGTGCTAGTCACCGTCACGAAATCACTTTATGCTGGTGTATGTATATATGTGTGTGTCTCTCTCCCGATTTGCACCAATTTTTTTCGTGTAAAGACAGGAGAAATATATAAGGTAAATTGAAATTTTAGCCATAATTTTCTTTTTTTATTTTGCATAACGAGGTAGAATTGAGCTCTGCTACTGCAAGGGGTACATTTATTCAACTTTTCTATTCAAATATTTACTTATAAAATATTTTTATTTACTCTTCTCTATTTCTTTTCTATTCTAATAAGTCTTCATCCTTTACTCTCAAAGATTATATGGTTCCCACTTACTGTAACTTTCATTTCCATGTCTATTAATAATGGCAATAATGTAATCTTGATCTATGAATTAATTTGAACAACTTAATTAAAACTTGCAAGTTTCCTAACTTTTTTAGAATTTAATATTTATAAAATGTATTGTAATAAGGTTGATATAATGGTTTAGGTGGTTCATAATGTTGAAATTCTTGACCTATGTAAAGATAAATAGGGACACATGCAGTATGTAAATCCCTAAATATGATTATTTACGTATTGGAATACTCGTCACCATTAATATAGTTTTGATGCTATAATACTGATATGTAACATAATAATTGAAAAAGGAGAAGAAAGAGCTAAAATTGTGGTTCTAGCAAGCAAGTTATTTATTAAATACCATTTTCTGAATAGCTCAGCAGATGAGAGCAATTATTTAAAAGAGCTTTTCTTAAAAATTTAGTTTGTTCTCTAGAATAAAAATAATGTATACAGTTTGTATGAAATTTTTAGAAGTGAAATATTTTGCTAATTCCAAATTTCAGTTGTTGAAAAATTCAACAGTTGAAATTTAGAAACAGACAATTTATTTTCAAACTTTGCACAAAAAAAGTGTAATGGAAGTGAGCGGTGAAATGATAAACAAAGAACTGTGAGTGATTAAGTACTAGCCTTCTTTCTGTCCATCAAAAAATTAGTTGAATTAGTTTTAAAGGATGGAAAAGGAAAAAGTTGACGTACTGAAAGAACAGGTGGAAGTGCCGTGGCTTCGGTAGCTAAACTTATCCTTCCTACATGCCAAACTGTGTCCAACCATTCTACTACTTTACTCAGAATAGATTCAATTTTCTTTACTTGCATCTAAAGTTTTAGATTTCGTTTGTTTATTCGTTGCTTCATCTTATTTCAGAAGGTCGAAAATGAGGGGAATCGCATCAGCTTTAAATTTAGCATACCAAACATGACCAAGAAGTAAAGTAAGGCATTGTTTGGCATCAGTCTTCTGACCCCGTATTATATCATACTGATTATCTCAGTAACACAATTTTCCAAATAATAATTTGCTAGTTTTATACGTTCTTTAATTGCAAATGCACATGAAT